GGAAAAACACTTAAAACCCAATTAAAAACAATTAGAGAAAAAAATAGAATTTTTTTAGTTACAAGGACCACTGCACGAAATGTGCTTATACACAAATAAATTTTTATCTTAGAAAGTTACAAAGCTACAAAGCTGAAATTTGGCACACATTTCCACGTGGGCCATCTAGACATTTTGAAAAAAACCGAACTGAGAAATCTCCCATAGGAAAAAAGTTAGCTCAGGAAAAGTTGCCGATATTCTGCTCTTATAGGCCATATAGACTGAAAACGCCCTATACCTAACTTTGCGAAATAAACCGATTTGGCCCATGTTTTGGACTTTCCCCACTGATTAGACCCCAGGGACTTGGAAAAACACTTAAAACCCAATTAAAAACAATTAGAGAAAAAAATAGAATTTTTTTAGTTACAAGGACCACTGCACGAAATGTGCTTATACACAAATAAATTTTTATCTTAGAAAGTTACAAAGCTACAAAGCTGAAATTTGGCACACATTTCCACGTGGGCCATCTAGACATTTTGAAAAAAACCGAACTGAGAAATCTCCCATAGGAAAAAAGTTAGCTCAGGAAAAGTTGCCGATATTCTGCTATAATGATTGTATACGAATTTAGTCCGTGCTATTTTTCAAAATCCTTTTTCTGCCTCCCTTTTGGGTTTTTGAAAGCCTACTTATTTTTTGTTTAGATTTGAAATTTTATGTCTGAAATTGCATTTTCTCTCAGGTTTTGGGAGATAATGATAGATTTATAGGCGGAAGGTTATTTCTAAAAATAGTGGTTTTGTGAGCAGTCCAAGTCAACTAAGTGTTGATATCCCGTACTGGTCTATTGGCTTAGTTGAGATTTGTTATGGTCATGATAGGCCAGGCTTTCATGTGACATATTGGAAAGTTTTCAACGAACTTTCTGGAAAAAATTATAGAGGTTTTTATTTGCTGTTTTAATATGGAAACAGATGGGCTAAATCCTGTTTGAACCCACGTAGGCCTAAGTTTTTTTTTAAATTGCTATTTTTCAAAAGTTGTGAATGATTTTGTATGTTGGTGGCAGTCTTGTGTTGGCTTTGCCAGAGTGGAGATGTATAGAAGAACCATGTAATTATAAACAAGACTAATTTTCTTTTCTTTCTCATTTTCAGAGGAAATAATACATTTTTAACTGGCATGGCATAACATCATTGAGAATATGAATGATCTACATCCTGCAAAGCACTTGGTAAGTCCAATTCTCTTTTTTTGTATCCATTAGGTGTATTTACTATTTTTCGGAAATTCATGAATTTTAAGAGAGAAGCTTTGTTCTCTTTGCTTTTAGTCTTCTTTCATTTTCCCCGTGGCACTCTATACTGTACAGTGATTGCAAAGTCTTAGGGGATAGGTTTGCCCCTAAAAACTCTGCCTTGGTCTCTGTGACCTTCTTTATCCCACTATTGGATCTTAGAATTGTAGAAGAAAGCCGTCCCATGGCATTTCTTCACACTCTTTGGAAGCGAAATGTTAATTGACTTGCTTTTCTGCATGTCTGTTTTGAAGAGTGTTTTGTCAATGGCCTCCTCAATCTGTCATTCATTTGTAGACTAGTTGTTTGAAGCAAGAAACATAGATCTGCTCCACCAGGTGTTACTATGATGCCACCACAGACCACAGAGTTAGAACGGCACCTTGAAAAGTCACCATCATAACACATAACTGTTGATTTCAGTAGTTTTGGCAGCTATTTTTTTTTATTTTTTCAATTTTTCGACATCTCTACAGTAAGTAGAAACAGCTATTTGATGGCAAGACTACACCTGGACTTAATGTGTTGACTCAATGTTTCATTTCTTTCTCAGATGTAGATTTGTAGATTTCCTGTGCATCCCTCATCTCCAGGACAGTTAACATCAATGCTTGTGCCTCTAAGCCACACCCTTGTCCAACAAAGTTTATTTTGCAACACAGCACTTATGATATATTTCTTATCAGTGTTTGCATCACAAGCAATACCAATAGGTTGAGATGTTGCTTGGTCTGGTTATTCACTGTGTCCTATGGTGAGACAAGGAAATGTATCCACAATTGAGGCATTTTAGTAGATATTTCCATCCAACTCCCCTTTTGTTTCTGTGTTGATCTTAAGCATGAGCCTGAATGGCTAAATTCCACTATTTTTTCCACATTGATTATCCTGTTGCCTGATACTTCATTTTCATCATAATTGCTTTTTTTCTAAGCCTTGGTTGAAAAACCTTGTAACTACCCAGAGAGTCTACTTCCATGTTAAAATTGTTCATTTTTTTCTCTTCAGACACAGAAGAAGTAGATGGAAGAAAATAATCAGCTTGTGTTACCTGGCTAACTTTCTTTATATGACCAGGTAAAAATTGTGAATTTTTTCTTTTTCTGTCACCCTTCATTTTCAGAGTTTTGAATGAGAAATAAGTGAATTTCTCATTTTAGTTGCTGCCATATTAGTCTAAGACTTGAGGGAAGTGAAAATATCAGCAGAATGATGTATTTATTATTTGACAAAAGAATAGACATAACAATTTCCATTTACAAGGTGAACAGGATACACCTATAAATGAGTTACATGATAGTGGTTACATTCCGCTTTTTTGTAGGTCGAACAAATCTGTGAAAACTCTACCAAAACCAAAATCTACATGTAACTTTTAAAATTTTATGCTTTTTGTACGCTGTTACAAAATAGTGAAATAAACGCCTAATTTTAGAGTTTTCTAAAGATTTCAACCAAATATACCGAGCCATTATAAAGCCAATCACCCAAACCGCTTAATTAACAATTAGTACTCTCAGTTTTTAATCAACACTTTTAAAACAAATTCAGTTTAATCAAGTAGATACGAAGATATAAAAAGCATACTTAAGAAATATTTTCAAGTATAATTTATGTTTGATGGAAATGTTTTACAAAGAAGCGGAATGCCCCTTTAAACTCACTCACTAATTGAAGTATGGCCTTTTAAAAGTCATTCTAGAAAACATTTTGGTCTATGTTATTTCTATTCCTGCAACTGTCATTTAAGAAAAATTGTGGTTGTTGAAATGAAAACATGTGGAATCAAGTTTACTATTCGTTAATATAGCATAAACATCCCCATTTGCATACTTTTAGGTTTATTTCACAATTTTGCGACAGGTTGATCCAAAGATGCCAAAAAAAGAAATTAAGACAATGAAAAACATTTTGTGTCCTTGTATGTATATATAGTATTCTGTCGTTGACAATACATCTATTAATTACTCTATGTTGACAATACCACTTTTCAAAGAAAGAAAACAACAATAGGCGAATGAACTTGACCTCCATTAAGGTCCACAACAATAGAACAGTAGCCTATATTCAAATAATGACTAAACCAAAACATTCGGTACTTTCTCATCTTTTTTCCAGCGATTTTCAAACGCGTGTCGTTCCTCCGTACTCTAAGTTTATGGTAATTTATCTGGTGTTACATGAATATTACAGAAGGGGATAAAGACCTAGAATTAAGTAAACATAATGCACATAATGAATATTGTTCGTTATATCTCAATTTCTTAACAAGGCAACACTTGGAAACTTGTATGATCCGATATAAATTTAACTTATTTTAGAATTTCATTCGAATCGATCGAAGAGTAGAGCAACCAGGCGTATGATGTAGTTTGCTAGAGCAAGGGAGGTAACTCAAAACTCCCTTGTCATACATATTCAGAATAACTAGGCAGTAACATAGTTCCTTGTCGTTTTTAAGATGTTCAGGTCTATTTTGGGCCTGACTTCTAAATTATTTTCTGCGATCTACAAAAACAGGATCCAATTTTCAGCAAGATGTATTCGATAAATTCAGAGAGTGTCAGTACACTTGCGCCAAGAAATATCCCCATTTGTCCACCAAGAGTAGCTGAAGAAAAAACAATACTTCATTAATTGTGTGAGATCTGCTCACAGTCTTTGCAAGAGCTAACCTCAAGGGTTGGTGGATTTACATGTGAATGGTTGGTACAAGAGGTACACGTAAATGGTTGGTAAAAGAGGTACACGTAAAGGGGTTAGTACAAGAGGTGCACCGTAAAATGGTTTGTACAAAACTACATATAGAAGGGCTACAAATTAAGGGTTGTTAACGAGCTACATGAAATAGTTGGTACAAGATGGAAACGAAAATTGTTGCTACCAGAACTACAGGGAAATGGTGTACCCATGAGTGGCACAAAACGTCGGCAAATGATTGCAAAGGATTAGTGAAAGATCTAACCGTTGGAGCAACAGCTATATCATATGTAGAATGCTTGAACAAAATGTTCGCAAAGGGAGTCAATTTAGGGATCAATCCCAGTTCAAAATTATTGTTATATTAGCCTATATAATTATTTGAATGCGTATATAGAGAGGGGTTCACAGAAGCCGTGGCATTCTTTTACAACTTATAATTATATAGAACCTATCTCCGAAAAAATAAGGAGCGACCATCGAAAGTTAGTTATATTTCATCCATATTATGCTTACCTAAAATACTGTCAAATGAATAAATGGCGCTTTGGTGTACCCTTGTTTCCACCAAATTTTCAAAGAAAATTCTCAATTCAGCAAAATTACTTCTCCTGCAAAATTATTGATGGTTCTTATAAAGCCTGGTTGTATCCTCGTGGTCAGAGAAAGAATGAGAATGCCACAAAAAGCAGAAACGGAAGAAACTTTGAAAGGATACCGAGAAAAGAAGAGAAAAGACTCATATATGAGTAAACTTTTAATGCTATAGAGAATGGCATCAAATTTTCCAAAAGCAACCGGTGTTTCGCCTCGTACTGTTGTTTTAAGTCTTACTTACTTTAGTGTCAAATTAGGAAATATCTGTTCTAGGTGTTTGATGTTGAGATCTGATGGATAGAGAGCTGTTGATAGTTTGATATCAAACTGAGTTGATTCACATGGTTTACCACAGCTACAGATTTCTTCCTTCACTTGATTAAATCGAACTATATTTGAAAATGGACATATCAAAAAATTGAAAAATACTTGTCATCATTGTCGCGGTTGAAATTTGTAACGTGGTTAATGTTATCGGTGTCGATGTAGACGTCATCAATAATAGCCTAGTGGTTGACGTTAGTAGTTTCGTTTAAGACGTCATCGGTAGTATGATCGATCATTGGTATCATTGAAGACGTCAGCGATATCCTTGACGTCATCAGTAACGTTGTTGATGTCATAATTGTCATCGGGACCATAGATATCTTACACTAGACTATATTACTGTATTATAAGATCGTTCCTGATGTTACGGAACTACCATTGGATTATTCGTTGTTAGTGAATCGATTTTGAAGATATCATTGTCGCCTCAATCGTTATATTTGTGTCACATTCAATTTCGTGTGTATTTCATCGCCATTATAGTTTCATCATTATCATCATCACCATCATCTATGTAGAAAATCGTTTTCAATGTTAATGCTGTCTACGCCATCGTAATTGCCGTTTATGTTATGGTCATCGTTGTCAAGTATAGATTTCATCATAGAAATGTTCTATGATTTCATTAATTAATGTAACTCAATGTTACTTACGTTTTTCATATTGAAGACATGTATAGACTTCCTTAAAGCTACATATGGTTTCAGTGCCTAAAAATGCAAAAAACTTTTGTTAGATAGAGAATTGTCTAGGTACGGCTGTTGCACAATGGGATAGAGCTTTAAATTTGGTCTCAGTTTGTCATTGTATAAAGTGGTTGTTTTCTTTTTCTTTTTCTTTTAGATTGATATAATAATGTGTTACCTCTGTCCGTATAGTCCACACAACCGCATTTTTTCATGAGAAACGTCGATCTACACTCTTGAAAACAGATCGTTTCGTCGTAAACGCCCGTCGTAGTCAGTGGATTTTGGAACACTGCATTCTTCGTGTCTAAGCAGTAAGTATTGTCAAATGCCTTATATGGAAATGGCATGAATTTATACTGGAATATACAAAATACGTACATATTACGACTTGATATTTTCGTTAACTTGATAATATATGGATATGACTGTATATGGAAATTTGATTTTGATTTCAGTAAATATATTTGATTGGCTACGACGCTGTAAGGTCAAAGTTCGTTTGATTGTAAAATTTATTTTGGGCGGGTTACTTCAATATACTTTAATATCTACAAAATAAGGATAAGTAAATCTAGATGAATGAATGAAACGCATTGCAATTCAACTTGGCTCACTTACGTTTATGACATTCGCGCTAGCATAAGTAGTAAAACCAGGCGGAACTAGAAATCCTTTATTAACTATATCCGGTTCTGTCCCCGTTTGGTGAAGCATCACCTAAAATTAGAAAAATAAATTGTAGAGAGTCCACATTATTTTTTTCATATATTACATTGAAGAAAGAAGTGAAATTAAGTGGAGTTTTATCAATAGAACTGACGTGAAAAACTTACTTTGAAACCAGACGCCATGTCGTTATTGTAAACGTAATCATCCTGATTTACAATTAAAGAAATCTGCAGACCTCTTTGACTTCCGGTCATCTTGGTGGTAACTCGGTCTCCATGATCCATCTTTCTGGTGGTGAAGCACAAGCCCATGTCCGTCAGCCTTGTCTCAAAAATGTTGCCACATACACCTATAGAACTGCCCTCAAACGAACAATATGTTAGCAGCGACGATAAGTCGTTTGACAAATTTAAGTAGTGTTCTTTTGGGTGTCGTTCAAGGGCGAACTGGAACTCTGGGAGGCTGAAGTTTATTTGATCCATGAGCCAACCAGTTGGTGACATGGCAGCCATTAGAGTCCATATTTCTGGGTTATAAGAGTCGTTCAGTTTTGTAGCGCTCAGAGGCGAAATACTGCATATCGTGACTTGTGGATATGTCTGTGCGGTCACACTGGCCACGCTCATTTCGGTCCTCGTTGGATATTTGTAGTAGTTGATGACGATGTTGCTTATGGTGTAGGTTAAAAAACTCGCCATTGCTATTACCCCTAACAGCCACACTGTCCTACAAATCAAAATGCTCATAAGTAAATATAGAAATACGAGTACAAGTAGAAATTCAATAACTCGCTGGAATCTTGTAGACAACACAGTCCAGAAAGTCTACACACTGGATGTCACTTGTTATGTTATCCAATCTGGAATATTTGATGGAAGCCCTTGCCGATATACTTACTATCTCAGCAAACCCATAGCTACATGTATATCAAACTCCGCTATACTTGATGTCACTGATGCACACGGAAATTAAAAAGAGAGTGATTCTGATATGTTGATATCTTGTTTACGCTTCAGGAACAACCGTTGTCGCTCTGAAATTGCGGCATCGGAAAAAGCAGATCTTGATCGTCCGGATTTCTACATCAAGAGACAACAACTGGGAACTGTCGTATTCATAATCAAGCACCCCTTGGCGTTCTCTTCGATGAGCTGTTGCATAATGAGAAAGGATGGAAACACTCCTGATGATTTATTTCGAATGTTTGAAGATCCACTACTAGGTGTCGGTATATCCTGTCTAAATCTGAAGTCACTGTTGGCATCGTCATGCATCCAGATTAACTATGGATCTCAAGAAACCTTTTTGTAGATGTCAATAGCATCTTGGTGCACTACGAAAACCTCATGCCACTGATATGTGAATGATTTGGATAGCATCGCCTGCAATTTGGATGTGACCAGGCCCAAGATAAAAAAAAAGGTGGAAAGAGGGCAAGCCATCCACTTACCTCCGAATTCTGCTCCTTCCATCGAAAGCATGTTTAATACCGTGGAGTGTTGTTATCTGGGTGAACTCTGGCCAGTCTACGATTTCTCTGGGTCTCACGTCTAGTGGTCTGGGTTCTTTATCTGTAGTTTCGATTGGGTCACAATAACTGGTCACTTTGATTGTAGGCATTGTAACTTGAAGAACGGCTCTATGATCAAATAATGTAACTCGTCCACATTCTGTCCATACAACAAAAAGTCTACAAGATGATCGGAAGCGTGGAACAATTAACCATACGCATATGAATACAAGTCATACAGCACTGTACAAGCGTACTCAAAGATATACACTTGCAAGCCACATGCTTAATGATTTACAGGCGTCTTCAAAGATGTACACTCGCAAGCCACAAGCCATATGGTTTACAAGCGTCCTCAGAGACACTCGCCAGCCACGATATTATGTCTTATAAGTACAACTTTTTATTCGCGCTCACAGCGATTGAAAACGGCACACAACGATGTACAACACTTTTCGTAGACGGAACTCATTATAATTCATTTATAATGCGAAGTTTTTTTAACTGTTATGTGAGACATAAAATTTAACAAAAAGTGGAATAAGTATGAAAGGTTGGAGGCACTGAATTGGATCCATGTAAAGCTATCGTAACTCCATCATCTGAAATCCTATTTATTTGAAGTTTCTATCTGGAGAACTACACACCTTTTAGATATCTCGTTCCCTTTAGATTCGGTCGTTTGAAATATGAAAATAACCTATGCAGAAGATTATATGAAATACATCACTGACAATGGTTAGTTATCCACTGTAATTCGAAACAGCCAGACAGCATTAGTTGTACCAAACCAGCAAACCATCGAAATACCTAGTATGCGATATCCTTCAGCTGGAAACGGAAGTTGACTTGTCATCAACTAACAACTACCTAATCTGCGATATGTATTAGCTGGAAGCTTACACTACCATCTACCAACCAACAGAATATTTTTTTGTCGGTTTGTGCAGCACGAAACATCGACTATCACTCAAAAAATATATACTGCGGCGGACAATGGAAGCTATTAAAGTCTGCTATTATTTCCATCGATCAATGCCATTAACACAATCCAATGACTAATCGGAACAACTAAACATTGTAGACTCTTTAAACATTCCTCGCCCGATAAATCATAGAGGTCAGCTATTCTAACGTATTGTAGCCCGTTTATCTATTTCTATTGTTTCATATTTTGTCATTCATCTTTTTAATCAGATAACTGAAAATACATTTTTGAAACATCCACCGATAACAGAATATTGACAATATGGCATACAATTACAATCATAGTATTTTCCGATTCTATTGCTAAAAAGAATCTGATTTCTATTATGATCCTGAAAACATTTCGTTCGAGAGACAATGGTAATTTTGATGAGATCTCGGATAATTTGGATAATATTGCTATGAAAAATTCAACATGTTTATCTGACAGTAAAATGAGATGTTTCTGAATTAATGTTTTTGAACTACAAATGCATGAAGAACTTAAATTTGTAGTTTAGTAACTAAAGACTATTTTGTCTACTATGATGACGGCGACGGCGACAATATTTTTTTATATGTAACTGTCCATGGATCTTTCACAGTCTGTAGCTGTTGTGCGCCAAATACCACATATGAACTTATGTAAGTAAAGTATTAATGTTCTTTCAACCCAAGAAGGAACAATGCGTAAATTTATTTCAGTAATTGTATTGTATCGTAAATAAATTGTTATATAAGTCATACCTGACACGTGTTTTTATTTAAAGTGGAAGTATAGGTCGATTTACAATCTATATTTTGAATTCATTATATCATCTTGGTCTTAAAGCATACGAAATGAGTTCATCAGTGAAAAAATTGGAAAATCCAACTGTTATTGACATTTAATAATGCATAATAATGCATACGAATTATCGGTTCCCCAAAATATGCTGTTAGCATTAACAGAAAAACAAAAATCTTGTTCAATGGCAGAATAGATTATCTCCAAGCTCCTGATATTTCAAGCTTTCTTTGACAAAATGTCTTCAAAACTGGTAGTTTTATCTTGGATGGGAGAAAAGATTATTTTGCATCTCCTCTTAATTCCAAGCTTAATTTGTTACTATAAAGTTTTTTTGTTTTTTGTTTTATGTAAATATCAAAAGAACGTAACAATGTCTAAAACACTAATAGTGTTATGTTCAATAGGAGAAAAGATAATCTCAGCTCATGCTACAGTGAAGGTTTTTTTTCTGTAAATAACAAAAGAACGTAACAGTGTCTACAAAACTAAAACTTGTCATGCTCAATAGGAGAAAAGATAATCTCAGTTTGTGATACTTTAAGGGGGTTTTTCTGTAAATAACAAAAGAACGTAACAGTGTCTACAGAACTAAAACTTGTATGCTCAATAGGAGAAAAGATAATCTCAGCTCGTGATACTTTAAGGGGTTTTTTGTAAATAACAAAAAAGCGTAACAATGTGTACAAATTCGTAGTTTTACGTTAAATAGGAGAAAAGATAATCTCAGCGCATGTAACTTTGGAGGGTTTTTGTAAATAACAAAAGAGCGTAACAATGTCTACAAATTCGTAGTTTTATGTTAAATAGGAGAAAAGATAATCTCAGCTCATGTAACTTTGGAGGGTTTTTGCAAATAACAAAAGAGGGTAACAATGTCTACAAATTCGTAGTTTTACGTTAAATAGGAGAAAAGATAATCTCAGCTCATGTAACTTTGGAGGGTTTTTGCAAATAACAAAAGAGCGTAACAATGTCTACAAATTCGTAGTTTTACGTTAAATAGGAGAAAAGATAATCTCAGCTCATGTAACTTTGGAGGGTTTTTGTAAATAACAAAAGAGCGTAACAATGTCTACAAATTCGTAGTTTTATGTTAAATAGGAGAAAAGATAATCTCAGCTCATGTAACTTTGGAGGGTTTTTGTAAATAACAAAAGAGCGTAACAATGTCTACAAATTCGTAGTTTTGTGGTAAATAGGGGAAAAGATAATCTCAGCTCATGTAACTTTGGAGGGTTTTTGTAAATAACAAAAGAGCGTAACAATGTCTACAAATTCGTAGTTTTGTGGTAAATGGGGGAAAAGATTATCTCAGCTCAGGTTACTCTAAGGGTTTTTTTGCAAATAACAAAAGAGTGTAACAATGTCTACAAATTCGTAGTTTTACGTTAAATAGGAGAAAAGATAATCTCAGCTCATGTAACTTTGGAGGGTTTTTGTAAATAACAAAAGAGCGTAACAATGTCTACAAATTCGTAGTTTTGTGGTAAATAGGGGAAAAGATAATCTCAGCTCATGTAACTTTGGAGGGTTTTTGTAAATAACAAAAGGGCGTAACAATGTTTTACAAAGCTCGTAGTTTTATGTGGGAGAATGTATTCATGACAGCTTGTGTTAATTGAAACTATTCCGCACAGCTACTTTAATTGTTCAATATATTAGAATAGGTGTCTCAATATTTACTTTTCTAGTGAATGAAACAGACCAACAAAACAATTTCCTTTGATTATATATTGTTTGTTAATTATGTTTACTTATCAACTTAATCTAGTGCTTTTGACACGTGTTTCAAATTACAATACAATATAATTGGTTATGAAATGATGTTATAAGTTCTAGGGACATAAGAACTAAGTAAGTGGATTTAGGGCACTCACTCATTTGCACTAAATAACTTAACAGCTTGTCTTTTGGACACAACCCGGTAATTCACTTGCTATTTGTTAAATCACGAAATTCAACCGTTTCCAGAAATCTCGTTGAAAACTTTCCAATATGTGACATGAAAGCCTGGCCAATACTTAGTTTCTGGAGAAAAATTCAATATATCATGACCGTGAAAATCTTGAGCTAACCAAACTGAAAGTAGACCTCTACATTTTATCAACATCCGCTTGACTATCACTGCACACAAAACAACTATTTTTAGAATTATTCTCTGCGTGGAAATCTCTCCTCATCTCATAAAATCTGAAAGAAAATGCAATTTCAGACATCAAATTCCAAATCTAGACCAAAAAGTAGTCAAAAATAGGCATGCACAGACCCCAAAAGGGAGTGAGTAAGAAGATTTCTAAAAATAGCACGGACTGCAATCATTCGCATAAAATGTTTTACTGGGGTCGGTCTTATATAATGTCGACCTCGACAGGTGTCCCCCCTTCCCCAGTGATCTTTCAGCCGATTTAACAAAATTTGCTGAACATTAGTTTTTGTTGGTATAACTCTGTGACTCTTAAACTTTGAGACAAAAGATCAGTTTTGTTCAAAAAATTATTTCAAGAAACCGCAGACGTGACATAAATGGTGTATGGGGATTATTGAATGGCATGAATATCCCATCTTTACGAATGTATCTGGCGGGTCTGAATTAAATAAATAGGTTTAAAAAAAGGCAGTTTTCGAACAAAAACAGTTTTTTTCTGTCTCTACACCGGCCGACAACTTTCAAAATAGCTTTCAATGGCTGCAATAGAGGAATATGTTTCACCCTATATAAGGATATGATATTTACGCTAGCTCTAATGATTGTTTTTCATCAGATATGTTAATCTTGTTTATTTTGTTAATTGACTTTAATCAATAATTACCCGGTAAACACTAAAAAATGCATAGTAAATGCATCAGGAAATCCCCCCATCCAATTCCATTACTACTAACCATTTTATTGTGTATTCTGATCTTATGAAGGAACTTTCTACATGCATAGGACTATCGCTGCATTCTAATAAAAATTCCATTCTTTTGTTACTGATATTTTCGTTTCTATTGTGATCTAATAAGTTTTTTTCCCACAGTCCGTTCTATTTATCGTTCTTCTGTTTAACCAAAGAGTAGGACGTAAAACTCCATTCATTTCATTTCATTTTTTAACCAAACAAAGAATGTCGTGTAAACCTTTTGGCGTTAACATAATGAATTGTGAGATAACCAAACCCAACGTAGAGCAATATGACAACCTTTTTAGGTTCCGTGTTACACAATTATTCATCCTCGTTTTCAAAAACGACTGGTTAAAAAATAACGGCATCAGACTGTGGTAGAAAACTTGTTTGATTACAAATGGAGACTATAATAATTGTATGAATATAATTATACGAATGTATTAGATTGATAAAAATTTGACATCTTCATTAGTCTTGATATCTTCGTTTCTCCCATCGCTAATATGTTCAGGTAGTCTGATTTAACTTATAGACTGACACCTTCATTATTTTGTGAAACTGCCTCAATAATTAAAAGAAGTCCATGTCCTGTAATCAATAGAGTAGACCATCATTCTAATTAAAATTAAACCAAACCTTCGTTCGGTTTTGTTTTATTAGCTTTTATTTTGATATAGCCACCTCAGTTCGGGTCTAACAACAGCCCTCTTGAACGTTCGTCAAATTAACCTTTTGACCTAATCTGATGCCAGCGCTGGAAAATGGAAAATTTTGATTGGTTAAAGCAGACGTCATCGAGTTAGGTTAAAAGGTTAATTTGATGAACGTTCAAGGGGGCTGTCGTTAGACGCTATAACGGTGGCTGTATTAAAAATAAAAGCTAGTAAGAAACCGACGAAAGTTTGGTCTGATTAATTTAGACTAATGAGACCATTTTATTGGGTGAATTAGTGAACAATCATTCCTCATATATGTCGCTAGATCACCGCAGTCATAGTATTGTGATTAGATTGTCAAAAAAGTTTGAAGTTGTACAACGTCGCGAACGTGAGTTCTAATGAGCGCCTTGTGGTTTTGGATTCTGAAAACACATCACATAATCTGAAATCCATTCGGGAAGAGTCGGTAAGAATCTAGCTAAGACCTGGGCATCATTCCCCACTACATAGCGATATTTCGGGTGCTTCGCAGATACTGCGTGAACGTATGCGTCAACGACTTTATCGATGTCGGAATCAGCTTTGTTGATTACTTCTACAATCAAATCTCTGCCTGAAACAATAAACAAATAGCCTAAATAAGAGCTATTGAAGAAGTGAACAGAAAAATGAAAAGAATGAAATAATCAGTTTTACAAGGATAACTACTTAAGGTGACAATAGACAATGTATGGTGTTCGTGTACGGTGCGAGATTATCGATACAGTAGAAAATAGTAATAGCATGTGTTCACTTCTTCTATTTTTTTTTCTACGAAAGTTAGTTAAGTGATGTCATCTAACGCTCTAAAAGACTTCGACCGAAACAGCCTTTGGTAGTAATTTTGACAGTTATCGTTTGGAGTAGAGACAGGAAAACTATGCCCTGTTTTGTATATATAGATGGGTGGAAATGTTTGTAGTTCAGTCATCATCATTATTGTCACGTCTGTGGTTCCAACAAAGTTTTTTCTCATCGGCCAGTTCAAAATCCCATACATCAGAGCCTAGATTTTCTGACTCTACTCCAGTCGAAAACTGTGAAATTAGCTGTCAGAGGCTTGAAGTGAGGCAGATGTTTCGGACTATAATCGACTGTACTTCAGAACCACTGCGTGGCATGAAAACGATAGAGAGGGGGAATTGGAAGCAAATCCGAACACCAACGAGCAGTACTCACTCTTAGGTAAAAACTGTGGACCGAAAAACTGCTGGAATTCCACACTGCCTTGACTAAAATATCGTTGAAGTTTTTCCATTAGCGACTCCGGGTTGATGATATCCGTATGGAAAAATCCTGGTTCTAAAATATGAACTGTGATGCCTTGATGGTAGACTTCCCGTCTGAAACACAATGAAACGATTAAAGTTACTGCGAAATCCATTCTCCCAGTGTTACAAATATATGTGTTTTTGTTAAAAGGACACCTTTATGTGTTATGTGCCATCTTTATAAAAACGTGAGTTTGAAATTCTTTCTTCCAGTATTCAACAATATATGTTATTATTAAAATGGGAGTGGGTGCCAGCTTTATATAAATGGGAATTGGGACTAAATCCTTTCTACCAGTGTTTATCAATATATTGTTTTTGTTTATATTGATAATTTTGTTTTTTCAGATAGTGTCTGGAAATGCTAACCGTGCACTATGGGACACCTAGTTCAATTGGAATCGTACCGTAAGCAGTCGGAGTACGCTTCCACGCCATATTTAGAGATACAATATGGTGCAGGAATGCTGGAGATGCGTCCAAACATACTGGCAATGTTCACAACTCTACCACGAGCCTTGCGGATTAATGGCAAACAGGCTTTCGTCACGTCAATAACTCCAAAAAGATTCACGTTCAGGCATTCCAAATAATCTGCTCGGCTTAAACATTCTGAATAGCCAACTGGTCCACCAATACCCGCGTTATTTACTACTGCCCACAATCCTTAAAATACAGTCAAATTTTAAGATTACGTTTTCGCTAAAATACGCTTTACGACGTCATTGATCATGCTTTTAAAATGACGTCATTATTCAATTCCTTAATGAGGTAATTTATAAGATTAACATTACAACGTCATTGATTAGATTTCTCAAATAACGTTATGGATCTTGCCGTCATTGATTAGATTTTAAAGGTAATATCCTTTACTTGTTGACGACAAACCATAGAACTGCATATAGTATATATGGAAAAACTATGACGCCATTAATCGTGTTCAGTATATGACGTCATAGATAAAATTTCGAGTCGACGTCTTTGATAATATTGTCATGTATATGACATCACTGATTTCCAGACACACATAATGTAGTAGCATAGCGTATACATATTATTTACCTGCATCGGGTGATAAAAGAGATTTGACGTGTTCAACGACTCTAACAATTTCCTCTTCATGAGCTACGTTCAACTGTACCGTCTTTAATCGGCTTGAACATTTGTTTTTGAGTGTTTCAATTCCTTCGATGGTGAGGCAGGCAGCTATGACGTGGAAGCCCATACCGTCCAATCTTTGTGCCAAATGATGACCGAAACCCGAATCGCATCCGGTGATAAAAACATATTTTTGTGTGATGTTGGTGATTTTGAATTTACGACGCAACCAATCGAAAACAAAATAACCAACTATTGCTGTCAATATCAAAATCCACATTTCTACAATTAAAAAAAAAACAATGAAAAGACTAGATTAAGAATCTGTTACATAGCTTACAATGGGCTTAAATATACCTTGGTCAGATTCGCCCAGTGGCAACACCGTATAGTCTGCTTTACAGTGTTCAAATTCATCCTCTACAGAGTGTTCAAATTCATATACAGAGGCAAAGAATTACCTTGCTCAAATTAATAGCCTACATAGGCATAATTATCTGAATAGGCTTAGAGTTCAAATTTATACAAAAGCAATGCATTACCTAGTTGAAATTGATAATATATATAGACCACAAAAAGCAAACTGTAGTCTAATTAACTGTAGTCTGATTAACTGTAGTCTGATTTTCTGTACACCTATGTAGTCTCCCTTGTGGTGTGTTTATTTGTCGCGAGAACTAACCCATGAAAAAGTTAACTGGACATGCAATAAACAGGGATTTCATATGCGATTTGATATAAATAGCTAACATCCAATATACTTTTAAAAAAAAATTCAATGGTAACGGAACTTAAATAGTGAAAAGACTTGCCTGCAATTTGTGGTGGAAACGAAACTTTGTAGAACGGCCTAAAATATTTTAATCACGTGACAACTGATATGGGTCAATAATGCTGATACACTAGTTTTTATACGCCCACATGGAAATGTGGACGTATATTGCCGTTGGTCCTGTCCGTCTGCCCTTCTGTCCACTTTTTTGTATGCACGATGCATGTAACCTCTATCGTGCATACAACTTTTATCTGATCTGTATGAAACTTAGTATGCATGTAGGCCTATATAGATGACATCTCAGTGCTGTTAAACGCGTTCACTCCTGAACATTTTCGGCCTTTTTCATGGTCGCCCCGAGTTCATTCACCCTGTGCCCGTTCGCTCCACAATATTTTGTGAAACAATAATCCATAATCCACAAGTTTTGAACAAAATGTTTAAATATGTGTTAAATTGTCGAAGTTATTCACTTATCAATTAAAACAGCTATCATGTGACTTAAAAAATAATGACTTGCTAGTTTTCATTGAAACCATTTCCAATTTGTCGTCCAGAAACTTGCCTTCACTAACACATGTTGTTTCTCCAAACGATTCTTTATTCCTTAAAGTGTCTAGAATTAACATGAACTTCGAAACAAAGAAATAAATTATGTAAAAACCGCAATTCCTTAAAATTCTCGAGAAAGTGGTAACATGGCCCACTTTTCAACTCGATTCATGCAGCATTGGACAATTTTATTGCACCCAGGACAAATATTTTTTTTTAAAGGGACAGTTACGCCAATTTTTTAACTAATCATACTTTAGTCTCAGAAACGGGATTTTTATTGTAGTAGCAGTTTACTGTAGTATGTAGTAGAGGTCAGTAATAATACAGATATTGGCAGTGTTTGACTGTAGTTTGTAGTAGAGGTCAGTAATGATACAGATATTGATAGTGTTTGACTGTAGTATGTAGTAGAGGTCAGTAATAATACAGATATTGATAGTGTTTGACTGTAGTTTGTAGTAGAAGTCAGTAATGAGACAGATATTGATAGTGTTTGACTGTAGTAAGTAGTAGAGGTCAGTAATGATCCATATATTGATAGTGTTTGACTAGTATGTAGTCAAGGTCAGTAATAATACAGATACAGATATTGATAGTGTTTGACTGTAGTATGTAGTAGAGGTCAGTAATGATACATATATTGATACATTTTGATTGTAGTATGTAGTAGAGGTCAGTTATGATACATACATTGATAGTGTCTGACTGTAGTATGTAGTTAAGGTCAGTTATGATACAGATATTGATAGTGTTTGACTGTAGTAAGTAGTAGAGGTCAGTAATGATGCTTATATTGATAGTATTGGACTGTACTATGTTGTCTAGGTCAGTAATGATACAGATCCTGATAATGTTTGACTGTAATATGTAATACAGGTTAATACTGATACAGATATTGATAGTGTTAGACTGTAGCATGTAGTAGAAGTAAGTAATACAGATATATAGATTAATACTACAGTCAAACACTATCAATATACGTTTTGTTAACCATAAGAATTGTTTCAACGTGTATTTTGAACTCATCGTTTGCATTCCGTAACATCTGCCAAGAACTGAAGAGTGTGTTCAAGCTTGAAATAGAACGCTTTTCAAAAAACAAGGAAAATAACTAATTACATACTTTTCAACACTTTTAATGAGATTTCTAAATGGTTTTTATCAAGTTTTATGTAAATTTATCAAAATTTATCAATAATTGTGCCTAACTCACTAACTCAGATGATATCAAAACTATCTTTATCAGTTCATAAACATTAATAAAAACCCTGTAATGATAATATTAAACAATTAGATATATATACAACACAAATATACAATACTATATCTTACAATTATCACAGTAATATTATCACAGTAAAGCCTAATATAAATCTATGCACATAAAATATCTATTTACACTTACACTATTACTATGTTAACTAATATATGCCATGGAGGGAAAACTTATGAAATGGACTAATGAAATATATAATATAATGTAAAATAAAACTAACCCTTAAGATGGGGTTTTAAGTTGATATTGACATTTACAGTATATAACTAAACTAAACTCAGTACCAAAACCTGTGAACTAATTATAATTAAAGATAATTATAATACAAATAGTTATAGATAATATAAGTTTAATATTGAAAAAGAAGGTTTATAATTCCACAAAGCATATAAATTAAAGATGGCTGCCATTACTAACTTTAAACTACCATGGTTACAATTGCACATCTCTCATACAGACAATTACCCTAGAAAATACCCAAAACACACATACCTGTGAAGTTATTTAAAGAAAATAACTAAATGGTGAAACAGGATAAATTTGAAAGTAGGAAATATTTCATAAAAGGTTGAAACACACTTCCTTCAACTTCAAGGACTAAGATAAAAGTAAAGTTTCTGACTGGATAGGTGATGAAACTCACTGAAAGCTCAATAAACTGGCCAATCCAAAAGGTGGCAAGGTCAGGTGAGATCAGTTAAGTTAAGAAACTAAGAGAGGGCACTAATTAAGACTTTAGTATTAGGCCAGTGTAAGGTAATTATGTGCTCATTAAAACAGTAGTGGTGCATTAAGATAAAACAACAATTAAATAAAACAACCAGGTTTTTACAAAAATGCACCCTGCCACACTAACATGGTGACATTGGCCTAATTTAACAAGTTACCATGCCGTGGTATATAGCTGTAAGAGGACTTATGACTATTTACCACGCTTACCACGCCAGTGGTTAATAAATGTGCACGGCATGTAACATACATCTTGTGATCTTGATGGGTTTCGATAGGCAATGAAGTTAAAAAACAATTCTTGAGTGGCGAGAATAGCTTACCCCCCTTTACCTCAACTGGCGCCGTCACCGCTTGAAAGACCTCTTCAAAACTCAAAGACAAAACATCCCAAAAATCCAAAAGCAATGTTTTAATCTCTTAATTTATGCTCTGTGTTCGTTTGTGAGAAATATTTGTTGTCTGGAGTTTTCAAAGGGAAGCTACTTTATTGAGGACTCTCCGGAAGTCGATTGTTTACATTGGAAACAATAACATTGCTATCATCGTTTAAGTAAGTGTTTGTAAATTTTACGTAATTTTATGAAATCCTGGCGTGTATTTCTTTCATATTTTATTTGTTTTGTATGAATTGCACATTTTCCTATCCCTTGACAAAAATTGGTGTCTAGCCCTTCTCTGCAGTGACCCCCTAAATAAATCAAAAATAAAATGCATTTGCAGTATAAAACACTGTCAACAAAAACAAACCTTATAATATAATTCTGTTCTTTTGTTCTTTTGGATTTATCACAAATTACAATTAATACTTTAGTCTTGTAAAATTTATGGTACTGTAATAAGATTTAAAGCACAGGATAGACTGTAACTATCTTTTGTTTTACACAGTAGCCTTTAAGCAGTCTGTTTTTTTTTTCGCTACTTTGAAGGCACATCAAATTTGGCTTGTAGGCACTATAGAGGCTACAGTTTTATTCTGATCTAAATGAAACTAAGTATGTTGTATATATGGAAGACATCTCGGTAAAATTTGAAATTGGTTATAATCAGATGAATTGTTTCAGACTTATTGCCTGTGACTCAGGAACACATCAAATTTGGCTTGTAGACACTATAGAAGCTACAGTTTTTATCCAATTTTAATAAAACATGGTATGCATGTTTAAGCTTATAAGCTTATATTGATGAGATCTTAGGTTTGAATATTGTTTCAATCAGATAGATTTAAGCTTCATAAAATTATGAAAATTCATTTTCAAGTCACTAAAGATTTTGTCATCATTTCTGGCAGCTGGTAGTGGGCGTATTTAAACTTTCATAGCAAGCTATCTTTCAGTTTTGAATAGTACTGAGAGTCATAAAAAACCATGGAATTGATAAATAAGCGTAATATAAAGTTTGGCAATGATACATTCAGAAATTTTAAAGATAGCTTGCCAGGCAAGGTAACATACACCCACTGGCAGCTGTCAGAAATGATAAAACAGTCTTTAGTGACTAAAGTATGAATTTTCTCATAAAGAAATTTTAATAGTTTGAATTCAATGATATATATATTTACTGCCAGTTATTTATGCTGAGAAATACCACAAAATTTTTAATAATCAATATCATTAACCCAAATACATCAAATAATTAAATTAATATACATGATCACACCATGTTTCATTAAAATCAATTGAAAATTGTAGTGTCTAATGTGTTCACAAACAAATTTTGACACGTTTCTCCTAAGTCAAGGGCAATAACTAAAAAAATGTTCATCGAAAGATCGTCAAATTGGAACTTGACCAAGATCTCATCAATATAAATGATTACACCACATTTCATTAAAATCAGTTAAAAACGGTAGTGTCTAATGTGTTCACAAACAAATTTTGATGCGTTTTTCCTAAGTCAAGGCCAATGACTAAAGAAAAGTTCATCGAAAGATCATCAAATTTGAACTGTTTTTTTGCAGTAAGGACAATGTCAAAGGTGAGTTCAGCTGATATTTTTTAACAACAGCAGCAACCATTACCATCATCAGCAGCAAAAAGATGAATCAATATAGATCTTTCTCTGACCTAAGTGAACTTGGTTACAGTGGAGCTGCTTTCAGACCAAAGTAAGTGTATTTTATAGTGGTGAGACCCTTCAGAAAAGCTTTTTTTCCAAAACACTCACCCGATAGTGCCTGAACACATACTCCATCGTCTCACACACAGCCAGCTCACCCTTAAAGACATACTCCATCCTCTCACACACAACCCGCTCACCCTGAAACACATACTCCATCATCTCACACACAACCAGCTCACCCTTAACGCATACTCCATCCTCTCACACACAACCAGTTCACCCTGAAACACATACTCCATCCTCTCACACACATCCAGCTCACCCTAAAACATATAATCCATCCTCTCACAACCAGCTCACCCTGAAAAATATACTTCATTCTCTCAAGCACAACCAGCTCACCCTGAAACACATACTCCATCCTCTCACAACCAGCTCACCATGAAACACATACTCCATCCTCTCACGCACAACCAGCTCACCCTGAAACACATACACCATCCTCTCAGACACAGCCAGCTCACCCTAAAACACATACTCCATCCTCTCACACACAACCAGCTCACCCTAAAACACATACTCCATCCTCTCCCAAACAACCAGCTCACCCTGAAACACATACTCCATCCTCTCACACACAACCAGCTCACCCTGAAGCACATACTCCATCCTCTCACACACAACCTGCTCATCCTGAAACACATACTCCATCTTCTCACACACAACCAGCTCATCCTGCATCCTGAAACACTTTCTCACTGCAATCCTATCTGGATAGCCGCTTTTGCACATGTGATATTCTTATCAAGATAACTTCTTGTTTGATTTCGCACTGCTACTTTTTAGGATCATATCCACTATCCAGATGAAATAAACCTCTAGAGGTAGATTTTTCTATCTGGATAATTTCTGGTTGTAAGTTTATTTGCCAGAGTGAAAGCAACTGGAAGTTATTCGGATAGAACTGGATCATATAACTGAATTACTTATGAAATGGGAAAAGGGTATTACTGGCACAATACATTCAATGAATCAATATATTGTGTTAGGACATGCCATGCTATGCTTTTCATGTATCATGATTTTGTATAGAATACTTTATGATACCAGACAAATATATACATATTTCTTTTAACAAAATGTCATTCGAATACAGGCTTAACTTATCAAGTTGTACGGAGTTTTTTGTGCAATCGTGTTAAGTACAGAAACATTGTACAATATCTAGTAATGGACTCATTAATGGTTCAGCTTTGTGATCTTTTGTGCCTCTAAACGTTCCTATATCCCATCAATATTTCACATCTGAGGAATGGTTAGAGTTAGATTTGTCTGGCTACTATCTGCATTGCACAAAAATAGTTTTGATAACCAACACTTTTACTTAGATTATGGATAAAATATGGATAAAAGTGTGATATTGAGCTGTTGAACTGATTAACATAGCTACAGAAAAACAATTCTCACTTCTGAGATTAGGTACAATTGATCAGACAAGGATTGAACATTCAGCTTTAATAATCCTTTTTTGAATATAGTCAAACATAAATACAGACTATCATATGACTCATTGTACCTGCCTTTCAAGTTCACCCATTGTTTAATTTTCAAACGTGACATGCAATGGAAGTAGAATAGAATAAAAGTTGAATAATAAAATGAAAGTACACAGAAGGCAATAAAATCATTGTAATCAATAACTAACACTGTGTAAGAAATCAATGAAAAAGTTCATTGAGTTTTGATTAATTGTAGTTTAGCAGGTGAAGGCCTAGTACAGCAGATAATGTGCAGACGACACTTCAAGTTCCACTCCAGCATTAGCAAGTCACAATCTGTTCATGTTGAAGGTCTAGATATGAAGTTCTGTAGCAGATGACAGTCGTTGTTTCAAATTTTGATTGGATCAAATCTGGATATGACTAGTCTCAATCTGTTGATGTTTTAGGACTATACGTCAAGTTCTGCAGTTTGTGTTTCAAATTTTGATCAAACTACTGGTAGCTTTTAGTTTGACATTGCACATGACACTGTGTTCTGCAGAAAAGATTTGATCTATAGAAAAAAAGATTTTTCTGTGAAAATAGTTTGGTATCTTCTCTGTAAGACATTGAGTATTTCTTGTATCTGTGGCTCTATGGAATTTCTTACTACCCTGATACACATGTCTTGGATATGAAAAACATCATCAGCTGATTTCAAAATGTTCTTTGCGATTCCACAAAATTAATTTGAGTTTTTTTATATTGGTATACTTGGATTACTTATCTAAAAATGTAAGTTTTGGTTTTTGTGACTACTGAAATGATGCTAGATGTTAGGATAGTTTGACAAATGTTGACTGAGAGAGAAAAGCTACCGTATTGTTAATTTCTTCGGTCGATTTTCTGACTAAAAGGTTGAGATTTTTCAATCCCTTTTCTCAGAAAGACCCCATAATTGATTAAGATTTAATCAAGGGATATTTAAAGAGTCAAGCTAATGAGAATTTCTATCAAAGCACACTAACTCAGTTAAGGAACAGTTGAGAGTTGTCAAACTCATTTCTCAAGGGGTAGCAGATCTAAAGCGGTGGGGGGATTTGAGAAAAGGCAGAAGTGGGTAAGTGAGTTAGACGCTCAGTAATCTCAAGGTTCAAGATTCAATCCCATAAAAGGTCGAGATATTTTTCGGAATTTTCAACAAAGTTGGGTGGAGATGGAAAAAGCGTCTAGTCGTTTGGATGGGACAATAAACCAAGATACTATGTGCTACAGACTGTGCAGTGTGCACGTTAAAGATTCCTTGATAGTTGGAAATCAAAACAGTATAGGCTAATGTCACTGCCCTGGAAAAATTTCCCTCATTGCACACTGCATGGCATTACCCAATAAGGTGGAGAAAACTGGGCAGTACAACTTCATATATTTGATTTCATTTCATTCTTCAGATGCATAGCCAATGTTTTTAAGATTTGACAAGGTGTTGGTTCTCAACCCGATTGAAAACTGATTGAACAATGAATAGGCTATTGATCTATTGATTAGGGTGATTGATCTATTCTATTTCAGTAATTTGAATACCAGAGTATTGTATACACTAACAATAAGTAACCATGTAGTGTATAAATGCTTTTTTACTCAATATACTATCAGCCTGTATATAACCTTTAGGCCGAGACAACTTTTAATGGCATATGTATATTTGAACATTATGGGGCCTTGAATTGATTTCAAAATGGAAAGATGTTATCATTTTTTTAATACTGGTATACTACTTAAAGGTATACTACCTCTTAGGATGACCAAATATTTGAAATTCCAAAACTTGTTAAAATGAGTCTTTGTTCATCAGTGGACTTACCTTGTAACATAACTATACAACATTATCCCTCTACATAAAACCAAGAATATTATTCATTAAACTAAGTAATTTTGAAACATGCTTAGAAGAGTGTTTCCATAATTATTTTAGTTTAATGGATAAGCTTATATCGTCTTATATAGTGATTTTATTCTATAGTCAGACACCTGGTAAGTCCAAGTGATGGATATACACTTGTCTTGTTGACAAAGTTTGAGACTTTAAATTTTATGAATATGCTTAGAGGTAGTATCTCTATTTCCAATATCGAATCTTTGACCAGGATGTAATACCATCAGCATCAAACATGTTTAAATGTTTTTTTTCAGGTCGTCACCTGCCAAAAGATATCATGGTAAAAAATCACATAAAATCAACAGACCAAAGACTGCTGCAGCTGTTTTACTCAGCAGAACAGAGTAGGTACCTGCCAAAATTGGCTTGAATGAAGTTCAAAATGGGATGAGCTTTCATGATGCAAATTAAAACTTGGCTACGATGGTTTGGACTGTTGTCATTTCCAGGTTGGCATTTCAGGTTCAGTACCCTCGACAATAAGTGCTCATAACATCATGAGCCATTGTTTCCACAGAATTAATTTTATAGCATATGAAAGGTATTAATAGTTGAGAGCTGACATCGGGCCTTCTATCCGAAACACTGGCTGTGGCATGAGAATTGGAGGAGGATTCAAATGCCAATAGCACCTTATCACCTTGCAGTCAACAATCAAACTCGCTACCACAGAATGCAGGGTCTTTTGGTGGCTTTGAAATAGTTATAGTGGTGTAACCAATATTTGTGCATATAAGGATTCAACGCCAATTAATTAAAAAAAAATAAAAAAATTTTCTTCAGATATTCTATAAAATAATTAAAATTGGTTTGTTTCGATTTTCTTTATGAATCCCCCACTTTGACCCATATTTCATGAGAAACCAACTCGACAATGGCTGCAAAATGCATGTACAATGTTTGATCTATAAATAAAGCGAGAAAAACACGTTGTATGCATACCCAGTGGTATAATTAACTTCTCTTAGTATTTATCTTTAATATCAATTCATTATAATTATAATGACAATTCCTTCAAAGAACAATGATTTAAAAAAAAAAATAGTGACTGACAAAATATCAGATAAGTAAAACGTTAGAGTGTTTTATTGCTAAAAGTCATTGAAACATAAGAATATGACCCACATTGTGTTCGATAGAATTTTTCTGCTGACACGGAATCCGCTAGTTAGTCACATGACTTGGTTCATTGGACTATATTCTAGCTGATGACACTTGGAATTCCGATTACAGCTTGGGATTATAAGGAAAAACAGCCTGTAGAAAATTGTGATATTTGGTAATAATTGGAATCGGCAATTTTGTATTTGTCAAAGTATACATTAATACATTTTATCTTGCTTGAAACTACTGAAAGCACAGATTATTGAGTAAGAATACATATTATTTTTTTTAGATGCGATAGAGTAAACCAACTTCAACATGAACCAACCAGACGCCATAATTTTGAAAATCATCTTCCAGTTCGTAAACCAAAAACACCGGCATGGCAGAAAAACTTAGATGTAAGTATTATCAGTGATATGTACTGTGTTGGAATGTTAGTCCCCTTTTTGGAATGTTAGTCCCCTTTTTGAAAACTAGCTATCCTAATGATATTGACCGTGAAGAAAATATTACTTTGACATGTAATCAATTTTGAAATTTTGATAATCGATAATCAAAATAATAGATTCCTAGCGATGATAATTGATTATTTTACTCAGCTCTAATCTTATTAAGGTAAATGGTTATCAAACAATTGATCATCAACCAACAACTCTCACCCTACCCAGTTAGTCAGATGTGATGTATCATCACTTGATAGAGCAAGACATCAAATGTCTTATATCCTTTTCATCCTGACTCATTTTCTGGCACTAGCTTTTGAGCCATTCCCCATGACAAAAACCAAATTCGTCATAACTTTTGGTATCTATACAAAGCTGAACCATAAAACTCTTAAAGACATTACCAGATATTCTACTTACACCTTTCCCCTATAGCTATTGACCTTTAACCTTTATATTTCTGTATATTCAAGCCTCCACCAGTACCTATAGTAGTGACACCAGGCTATGTTTTATCTAAAAGTAAATCAAAATGTTCAGTTATATTGAGAGAAGATTTTTTTGATCCAGGAACAGAAAGTCCTGTTTCACCTTCCAGCCCACTGTCTACCAGGTCAGTTTTTAAAATCTAATAATCTATGGATCAGTCTTCTTTTTCCTTATTCCAGTCAACCCAGCTGTAAATGATTACTGAATAAGTCATCTTTTAACATTATTCCAGTAGACCCAGCTGTAAATAAGTACTGAATAGGTCATATTCCCCCAATAATTTAAGTCAACCAGCTGTAAATGGGTATTGATAATACTGGAAATATCAATGCCAAGAAGTTTTGGTCAAGGAACAGCTGGTCAAAGGGATTCTCTTGAACCTAAATAGTTACCCTTGAAAAGGGTTTTTTTTATATCTTAATTCACCAAAAAGTCTTATTGATGTATAGATGTATATATTTGGTTTTTTTTTTGCTTTTTACTGTGGGCTACCTCATTCATTCTTAATCCTTTTATTTTCTACAGTTTGAGACAACATTCCTTTAAAACTCAAGTTTGACATTGAATTACAGAAATTTGGTTTTTTGTTTCTTTTTTAGAAGAGCTGTGAACAAGGGTGATCCTGAAAGGTAATTTTATTTTTCAATTTTTTAATTAGAATAAAGTGACCTTTTCTGAATACTTTTTAAAGTGAAAGATTTCTCATACGTTTGACTTGTCGTTACCTCGTAACTTAAATTTTTTAAGCTAAGATTAAAGCAGAATTTGATATGTTTACAGAGATAGTTTGATAGCCACACTACAAGAACAGATTAACGATTTAACTTTATATCTCGAGGAAGAGAGGCTAAATCATCGTCAAACCAAACAAAAGGTAGGAAATTCATTGTCTTGACTTCTCAACATTGTTTTGACTTCTCAACATTTTTTTGCTCTCTCAATATTGTCTCGACTTCTCATGATTGTTTTGACTTCACAACATTGTTTTTACTTCACAACATTGTTTTGACTTCTCAATACAGATTTTTCTTCTCGATATTGTTTTGACATCTCCACATTATTTGGATTTCCCAATTGTTTTGATTTCCCTATTGTTTTGATTTCTCAATATTGTTTTGACACATCCACATCATTTTGATTTCTCCACATCATTTTGATTTCCCTATTGTTTGACTTTTCAATAATTTTTTGACTTCTCCATATTGTTCTGATTTCAGCCAAATATTGTTTTGACTATTGAACATTGTTTTGATATCAGCTGAACACTATTTTGACATCTTAACATTGTATTGACTTCCTTATGATTTTTTCTCATTTTTCAGAGTGAAGAATATTTAAAAGATAGATTGGAAGATTTAGCTAATCAACACAAACATCAAATCAAGTAAGCAACTGTTTTTGCTCATAGAGAGAGCTTTATTTCATTTGCTTATACTTCAGATTCGCCATTGGTTTAACCAATCTTACTTTGAAACTTTGTGCAATATACCATGAGGGAAATAGCTTAATATTACTGATTTCCAGCAGATTTCCCTAATGGTAACAGTCTATAGGGCCTTGAGTTATTGTCCAATCCAAAGGTTTTTTCTGGGCCTCTCTGACTTGCACCTTGGCTCTTCTCAGTTAGATAGGAGCTGTATCATTTAGTTTTTAGTTTTTCCATCCAACATCAAAATTGACTGTGTGAAGAATAGAACCTTCAAAGAAATAATGTATATGCAGGTACCCTTGATATGTCTCAGAATGGAAATCTGATGTGTGATAAAAACTGTTTTTGAAATTGAGCTCTATAAGATGATTCCATTTTTCAGAGAGTTAAAATCAGAACATAAATATAACTTGAAGAATTTAGAAAATGTAAAAGAACAAGAATTTAATGATTTTAAAGAGAAATCGGACCAACAGATTCGTAAGTATGCAGTCAATTACTCAAGTTTGTCAAAGAAGGTATTTGTAAAAGCACTTTTGATATTTGCAGACCAAGACTGTTTGATATAAGTTCTTTTTAACAATGACTAGAGCCTTTTTACATCAGATCCTATGGGACAGGACAAAAAATAAAATGAGGATTTCTGATTTTCTTGTTATATTTTCCAGATAAAATGGTGACTGAAATTGAATTCCTACAGGGGGCGTTTGAGTCGTATAAAGGAACATTGGAACAGGAAATGGAGTTGAAATGGAGCCAGAAAGAAGAGGAACTTAAACAACAACTAGAATCGGAAAAAACTGATGCTTTGGTTGAATTCAGTAAGTTTCATTTCCCAAAGTAAACTGTTAAAGGAACAGTATGCTCTAAAGATTTCTAAAGTATGATATTTACATCTATGTATCTACTTGATCAAACTGAATCTGTTTTAAGATAATCTTTGTAAGACATATAGAAATAGGAACATTAAGAACACAAGTTATGTGGATCAAGTAAAATGTATGTAGTATGTAATAAACCTAGAAGTAATATATCCATATATCTTGTGTTGTTAATTGTTTCAAAATATTTAGTTGAAAGGAAGAATACAAATTGTACAAAGTAAGTAGCTTTAACTAGTTTTGGTGCTAGGTCTCATAATAGTCTATGTTTTTAGTTGAAACCTTTAGAATTCTTAGGAGACATATTTCTCTACAATTCCGCATTTATTTTGCTAAATTCCGCAGAGTGGTTTTCTTTCACCTCCGAAAGAGCATGACAAACTTCATAAGTTTTGTGGTTAAAAATTTATCTGCTGGATTTATTTAGTTAAGACAGATAAATTAAGAGACATATTTTTCTAGATTTTAGTGTATAGTTTTCATAAATTTGAGTATAAAAATGACAGTCTAGTCTGATGATTTATCTTTAATTCTCATTTCAGAAAGCAAAGTTCAACAAGAAAAGACGTCTGATAAGTCTAATTTAAAACAAGAATTTCAACGCCAGAAAGAGGTCATGAGGAGAGAACATAAAAAGGAAATTGAGGTAGTTCACTAGATGTTTCAGAAAAAAAAGTTGGCTTATAAAGATGTTTTGGCATTATTTTCCTCATTGTACACTGCAAGACACATTCTATGACAATTATCCCAATCAGTTGTAGAAAAATAAGACATAACTACATATTTCAATTCAAATTATACTAAGGTTATTTTATGCTTCTCATAATGATTGTTTTGAATCTGAAACAAATAATATTGCAGGCTATGATACGAAGATACGCAACTGCTGCAGCTGACCTTGAAAGATCTCAAAGATTGAATGCTGAGCTAGAGGTAGGTTTACAAACACTAAGTGACGTTGAAAAAACTTCCATTGTGCCAAGAGGGTATCCAGTTAAAACAGTAACAAACCAAAACTGTAACAAATCTTGATAGTCAATAATCAAATGGGTTACACAAAATTTGTTAAAACAGTAATGTAATGCTTGCTTTTTTTTCTTTAGGAAGTAAAAGCTGAGTTAGCCCAAGTTAAAGCTAGTTATTTGGAAACTAGTAGCCAACTAAATATAACCAACAGACAACTGACTGATACTGTAAGTATGAGCTTGTTGTTGTCTGTAGCATGATTCAACAAGTAATAGAGTTTTCTCCATGTCAATCGTGCTACAAATGATACACTTTGGATTTTTCAAACTGGTTATCAATGTATGTCAGTTGGACTGATATTTAAAGCATATGGTTTTTCCAGTGGTACATAACCTAAGACACTGTTTTCTACAGTGATTATTCAAAATCCCTTTACAGTTTTACTCCAAGGAGTATTTGATGCTGTCCTGGCAAAAGTTCCCTCATGGAACACTATATGACTTTGCCTATTTTTATTAGCTTCAAGGAGCTTTAGTGGCTCAATAAACTAAAGGTCCAGGGTTCATCCATAGGTCAAGATAATATCTTCAGATTTCCAACAGAGTTTCCCCCTATCAGTGATTCACATCAGAGGGGCTTACAATTTTTAACATTAAGTATGATTTAGGTTTTATTCTTTTGTCAGAAAGTACATCTGTTAGAATATGAAGAACAGTTTCAAGACAAAGTTCAGATCATCGATGATAAATATCGGCAAAAAATAGATGATTTGATGAGACAAAATACAGAATTACGGTAAAATTAGAATAATGTCCTTATCTTCATTGAACCATATTGAAATTCAGTGAATTACTTTTGTATCTTATGAAAGTTAGAGGCCTTTTGGTATGAAAAATGTCTTATTTATGTTTAATGAATTCAGTGTAGTTCTATTTATTTAAGACAGAAATAGGAAGTTAAATTTCTGGATGTTTTAAAATTATTTTTTAGACAATTATATGTTAAGAAATGTGGCCAGTTATTTGATGAGAAAGCTGTGAGTGAGCGAACAGTCATCAATAAAGTTACCACAGCCAAACAAACCATGAAGGTAAGTCCTGTTTATAAAATGAGCACCAGAATATTATTAAGCATGTTCTTAGATGCAATAAATTACATCAGTGAAACAAACCATGAAGGTAAGTCATGGTTTTTAAATGTGCCAGAATGTTATTTAGCATGTCAATAAGAACAATCAGCTTATAAGAAACACCACAGCACATTGCAGAATTAATGTCTAAATTAATATTGTTGTCCAGAAAACGTTGTGGTGTTAGTGTTATTAGAACTGAGTGCAGCATTTGATATTGTAGACCAATCCATTTTAATAACGCGATTACAAGAAAGGTTTGGAATCCAAGGTAGTGCTCTGAAAACTACATGACCAGACTCAGTCAATAGTGATTGTAAATAGTGCTTCTGACCCAACTGCATAAGTATAGTGTTTCCCAAGGATCTTGGTCCTCTACTTTTCTCAGTTTATACATGACCTCGTGATATAATAAGAAACTGTAATCTGGGATATCATTTATACACTGATGACACCACCCAATTATATTTATCATTAAATCAGCTGAATGACAATTAGACTGAACTAACGAAAATAGGAATGGGATGAAACCTGGTAAACATAACTCAATAAATATCTGTGAATCAAATATGTCATACAATCTTGGTGTATTTTTTGATTATAATCTGTCAATGAACTCTTACATTAATTATGTTTTTAAAACTATAAAAATAAAATGACTAGTCGACTGATAATAAAAGAAAAAATAAATCACACGATAACGTGCAAATAGTAGGTAAAAAGTCGATACAATTAGAGTAAATGTAGCTACGTTTCGGGACTAATCCCTTTATCAAGCGTAAAAAAACAAAAAAGCGAGAAAGGTGCTATCTCTACGAAGAACAACACAAAATATTCAGCTTAGATGAAAGAAAATAAGTTTCTCAAGGGAGATAATAAACTCAAAAGATATAGGTCACAGAAATATGAGAACTGTTTGTTCATCCCTGCAGGTGCTAAGGCTCCAAGACGATGAATAATATTCATCTCACTGCGTTTCCTATTAGACTCACCTCCATAGAGGTGGGCGACACCAGTTACTGTGACGTGGGCTATAGAGTGTCCTGGTAAGTTAAAATGAGTTGCAACAGGGATAATGTTATCTGATTAATACTTAGGAGATAGTATGTACTTATATAGATCATATTACACAATTTGTAAAACTATTAACTTTTATTTGTATAATATTGGTAAAATTAGGAACATGATCAATAATGAAACCGCTAAGTTGGTAGTGAATTCTCTTGTGACTTGATCAACTTCAAAAAATTCAGAACAAAGCAGCCAGAATAGTATCAAGAACTAAACCGTGGGTACATATTACTGCTGTCACTGGTTCCCTTTAACTAAAAGAATTAAATGTAAAATTCCATCAATGACATGCTCAAGCATAAATGTAGATATTGCACCTCATTACTTGGAAGACCTTGTTAAGCCTTATAGCCCAGAAGATAATCTACGCTCCAGACAATCTTATCTGCTATTTGCTTTCTAATATGCTGCCCGATATCTATGGAATAATCTACCCTCTAATCTAAGAAAAATTTACACCTTACCATCTTTTAAAAAACAGCTCAAGTCAAACACAGATATTTTACCTCATCCGCATACCGTCAAAACATAAACAAAACTAGTCAATTTTATTTTCAGATTATAAAAACTGAATTATTTTAAGAGTATAAATCTTAATGATGTGTTATTGCTTGTAATATTGTTTTAAGTTGATAAGATTTTAGGTTTCATTGTTTTTTGTATATATTATGTTAATTTGTATATATGTTATGTTAATCTGTATATATATATTATGTTTTTTTGTATATATGTTATGTTAATTTGTATTATGTCAATATTGTATAACAGCGCCATAGAGCAGCAATTTTAGTTGCTGGATTAAAGGTGCTATATGAATTTATTATTATTATTGTATCAGTGTTTATTAAATAAGTATTACTTAGAAAGTCTTCGGGTGATAGACCCAGATGTTACATACTAATATCATAAGTAAATCATTGTTACCAGCAGTTGGATAATATATTCTCTTTATTTCAGGAGTTAATTAAGGTCAAAGAAAGATCAAATGTGAATTTAATAGCGAATGATCCAGATTTAGAGAAACGAGCAAGGAAACCAAAAACCCGTCCAGGAAGTGCTCCAACCACTCATATTGAAGGCATTACTGCGCACCTTAGTGCTGGCGAAACAGATCATTTACAAAAACATGCAGAATTCATTCGACCAAACACTGTTTTACCTACGGATACACCAGAAATTGAAAAGTTACGCAAAAACTTGTTTGCAGAAGGAGTTAAAGAGTACACAAAAGAAGACTTGTTAAAGGTTTTGCAGTCCTGAAGTTCTAGATATTTTTCATCATTTTTATCTGTGATATAAATTTTTATTTATTGTGTTAAATTATTTTGTATTTTTAACATAATGTGTATTTTTAGAAACAATATTTTTACTATATACTGTCTAATTTTATTTGCTCAAAATAATATATGATTTCATAGCCTTGTATTCATTTAAATACAAAGTCATCAGTAGTAAACTTATATTCTCATTTATATAATTGTAGAATTCTATTTATCAATGAAAGAATGTGGACAGAAGATTATTTTTGAAGTGATATTAAAGGGGTCCATTGATATTAACATGTGTTGGTAATGCTACCCTCTTGTCAAGACTGCAAGTGCAACCAGTTGCACAGAGCATGCCCTAAACCAGATGAAGGGAGCAGACTCTCACCTACTTGCAGCAGGGTTTCTGCAGCTGGGTGATAGCATTTATGTGTCTACCCTCTGCATTTGGATGATAGCATAAGGGTACAGGGTATCTTGCAAATGGTAGGGAGCATGCTCTGCAGCTGAGCAAATCTAGTCTATGCAGGTTGGTGACATAGTCTCTGCAACTGAGAGCATGCTCTCGACCAGTTGCAGAGAAAACGCTCTAAAAAACAGAGCATGAAAAAAAATATATATATATTAATTGACATTTATTTTAGTAAATATATTACAAACAAATTTATTTGTTTACAAATAGAGAGTCCAAGGTTGATTCCTGACCACATCCACACATCAACTGACTCTTGCAGGGAAGTAACCTTCTGAACTCTCAGTGACTAGATATAAATAGGACTTAATTTATACAAATAGAAAAAAGATTCGAACTTGAAACTTGAACTTGAAACGGTTTTATTTCCCACTCCTTAAAATTTTCTCAAAAAAAAAAATGTTATAAAAAAATTCACAATACTAATATATATTTTCAATGCTTTTGAAGCTAAAAAAAACTTCTTTAAATAAAAAGTAAGTTTTCTCTCTTGGATCCATGATTTGATCCCTGGCAAGGTATTTTTATTATGCATTACTATAAATCCATAAGCATTAGAACAGTGCTGGGGTAATTTTGCCCCAAAAAATGTAAAATGATGCTAAAAAAAACATTCCCGATTTTTTGTGAACAAATTTTAATCAGCCCCCATAGCCTATGAACCCCATGGGTTTAAAAAACTTTGTACAATATTATGCTTAAGAATATATTGAAGTACTACCTCATATCATAAGATTTCAATTCTGATAAGATTGAATTTCATCAAAAGTCTTGCCTCCATTTTAATTAAATCTTATCTTTCCTCCATTTTAATTAAATCTTATCTTTCCTCCATTTTAATTAAATCATATCTTTATATGATTGGCAAAAATAAAATGTTGGGTTGAAAGTCACCCAATCATATCACAAAAATTCTTAACTCAGTAGGATTAGAAAATCTCAAATATGATTGGACAACTTTAAACCCTCAATTTGATTTTGGCCAATCACATCATGCAAATTCTAAACTGGTTACAGTTCGATAAGATTATCTTTAATATGATTGGTTCAATGTTAATCAGATGGACCATGGAGCAGGCATTATAAGCTTTAAAGGAAAAATCAAGTCTAATTTTCTATTTCAATAGTAAGTTGAACCAGTTTTACAATTTAGAAACAAAATAATTTTTTGGTTGCTTATTCCTAAAATTGCCTTTTATATAAATTTGTGGTATCCTAAAGTCATAAATAACAATTTATTTAGCAATCTTTTCTAAATCAAATGTTTTTCAAGAAATTTTGGATGCAACAATGGCAAAGATCAATACCCTTTACTTTAGTGAATAAATAGATTTTAGGTCAGTTTTCGGATATAAATTTGGACAATTAGACATGACAACAATTAAAGCTTCTACATAATTTCTATGGAAAACTTTTCAAAACTTTCCTTTTCAAGAAAAAACTAAACAAAATATTAACTTATATCCATTAACAAAAAACAGAAAAACAATAATCATGTATTATTTTAAATTTGAATAAAAACTATTGATATTTAGATGCTTTAGAAGTTATTGCTGATAAATAGAATATTCTTAGTATTATCTCTCTGTTAACAATTGTTGAATCCAGTGCATTTTTCCAAAATTCAAGTGAAAAAAGTATAAGTTTAAAATTTTGATCATTTGAGACTAGAATCAAAAATCAAAAAATTTACATGAATGGATTGAGGTCAGAAAATCATCCAATCATAATTCTTCTTGTTGATCAAACTGGTTTATGTAAACTGTTGTGATTCTTTTTCAATTTATTTTCAAAAAAAATGAAATAACTATCATTTTAACAGGACAAAACATGCATATAACATCAACAACAAAAATAAAATCATCATTTTTCTAAAATGGCACATCACACTTTCCGAGAAACTTAAAACAGCAGTTATAAACAGCCTAGCTTATTATAAATATATTATATAAAATTATTCTTGTACCCTTTTATATTCATATTTGCGTATAATTGGTAAAATTCTAAAATAAATTTCAATACATTTTGGTAGTATTTTGTTTTAATTTTTGATCATTGAGTACCGGTAAGTAGCTTTAATCCCTGGCTGATATCTACAAAATAATTTCTATTTTTCGAGCACCAGAGGTTGGAATAACAATGTCTATTTGTAGAATTCAAGAGGTGTGGATATATATACTGTCTCTTTATAAACAAAAGGGTACAAGAATTTCTAGAAAGTTAAAATACTATTTACAAGTAAAATATATATATATTAAAAACAATTTCACAATATCTCACTATCTTACATATTGATTAATTATTTTTGGAAGATGCTTAATTTGATGTTGAATGATGATGGTAAGAATGGTGAAGAAAAATGTGATTTGAAAACTGATGTTTAAGTAATGAATGCATCAACCTAAAATAAAATTCCGCAGAATTGATTTCAAAATGGATGACAATTAAGATTTTGTTTTATTTCATTTACTTTCATCCAACTCTGATCTCATATCAACAAATGTTCCAAAGGAACTGGCACCAAACAGTAGGGTGGAACCAGAAATTTATTTATCGCCCCAGTTTACATGGAAAAACATAGAGAAATTAGCCTGGGTGTACTTAAAACAGCATCAGATAACTAAATTATTTGGTTACAGTTTCTTTGGTAACATGTTCATTTACAAAGCATCTATCCAAACAATTATCTTTTATCTGTATTTTTTAAAAATCTTCGAAAATTCCGCTAACAATGGATTAAATAATACATTCATTAACATAACCACACAAACAAACTTAATAACGAAGCAGAAAGCTCCTCGTCAAGATTATCAACCACTTCCAGAGTGCCAAGCTTCATGCTAAAGAAAATCTATAGCGTGAATTCAATCATTAAACATTCATGATCTTGTTGTTTACAAGACTAGATATAATAGACTATAACTATACTTTATTTCTAGTCTTTGATTCAGGAAGTCTCATCTCATGTTGGCTTTTGGTAGCAAACACACTTCAAAATAAGCAGAAACTAATTAACTGTACTACAGCCCAAAACATAATCAAAAATCAGATGAATCTCTCTCAGAACTCTTCACCACCACAGTTCCATTTGGCAAAACATTGTAGAGAATAAAACCTAGACTATTTTGCCACTTTCATTGATCATATTTTGTTCAATCTTACCTCCCATTTCAATTTCAGTTGAATACTATCTAATTTCATATCTTGAAAAAAACTTTTTATTTTAACTTCACATGAGATTTGTAAGCCACTCTAAATCATCACCACAAATTTAAGATTTACTACAGTCAAGAAATATTCCATATTTGTTCAGACTGTTTACCACGGCCACATACCATGATTTTTGTCCATTAAATGAATGAATGATGATAATAAATAATTGTTCACAATAGAAAAAAATTGATGCTTGAACATGAACAAATGACGAATCTAATTCACAAAACAATACCGTTTTTATGCTGCATTAAGAATTTATACTTGTCCCATCATCAATGGGGGGTTAACTGTGTCTCTTTGTTTCTCTTAGGGGGAGGAGGGGGCGGTTTTGGTTTTCCGTTAGTCATTGCTTTCACTTCCCCAGTAGTTTGATAAATATCCAAGAGCTCTGGAGGCGGTAATGGGAGATCATTTATGTCCATGATGCCTTCACAATTTTCGTAAATCGGATCAATTATTTGTGGTTCCAATTTGATTTCGCGAGCAGAATCTGACGATAATCGTGTATGTTGGCTGCGTTTTGGAGGCGGAGGAGCTTTTTTACCATCTTTTTGTTTGACTGCCGCATTTCCTGCAGAAGCTGTTCTCCTGTGATTCCGAGAGTTAGGAGATTGTTGAACATTGTTTGATGACACATTTTCAGCAGGCATTTTATTATGATTGTTCATTTCAGATAAAAATGGTAGCAACGTTGGAGATGATGGTGATTTTGGTCCACTATTGTTATTGTCCGAGATAAACTGTGTTCCCGTCGACGGATACTTCACATGCGATATTTTGGGTTTTGGACTTTCATTTCCTTCTGACATTTTCGGAGATATTGGCGCATGGTTATGATTTTGACCACCATTTTTCAAAACAGGAGCTCCATTAAGCCGAGGATTAGCATGATTTCCATTTTGTTGTGGCTTTGGAATCTTTATAGGTCCTTTAGGAGCCACAGCTGGTGCTTTCGGTCCTGATGGTTTGGTTGGATTATGATCTGGAGCTCGTGATAACTGAGGACTCATCGGAGAGTTGATAGGTTTTGGTTTGATAGCTGGTGGATTTGGGGGTCCATTTTGTGTTTTCTGCATAGTGTTTTGTGGTGATGAATTGCTCTGTGGTTTAGGAGCCACTTGTGGTGGTGGTGTTGGTGAAGTCACTGGGGTTTTGATTAGTGGTGCAGGAGGAACACCATTTGTTTGTGGTCTGTTGCCAGTTGGAATAGGAGGAGGGGGTGGCCTAGCATGGGGTTGATTCTGTGGCTTGGTTGAAGTGGGTGGTGGTTGTGGGGGTTTTGGAGATTGCACAACTGTATGAGGGGGTGATGAAATTTGCTGAGGCAGAGATTCATAAATAGCATCTGGTGGCTGTTGATAAAGTGGCTCCTGTGGTATGCTCTGGTATCCAGGTGATTGTGGTTGTCCTGGTGACATACTCTGGTAATCAAGCGATTGTGGTTGTCCTTGTGGCATGCTCTGACTTCCTTGATGCTTAGGAACAGGGGGTGCAGGTGGTGCACTCTGGGGTTTCATTGGTGGTTTTGGTGGCATTGGTTTGGCAGTTTCAGCTTGAGGAGCTGGTGGAGTTTGAGGTTTGTGAACTTGACTATATAGTTCTTCAGGAGGAGGTGGTGGGAAAGGATCCTCATATACTGGAGGGTACATTTCTTCTTCCTCCTCAGGGCAACCATTGGTATACTGTATCGATGCATAGAATCCTTGATTTGGTGATTTCAGAGCTGAAGGTGGAGACTGCCCATAATGACTCTCATGCCGGATTGAGCCATGTGATCCCTTTCGGAAAGATCCCCTGTGGTCATGGTTACTACTGTCAGATCCTCGTCTCTCTGTCAATGAAGAAGAAGATCTTCTTCTTTCATTTAAAATAACAGAGCGTCGGCTTTCATCCACAAAATTGTCATCATTGGTATGAAACATTTCTGACAATTGTCGTGTCGTTTCGGTTGTGACAGGCAGTTTTGCTCTGATCTTTCCACGAGGAACTGAACCATGTCGTCCTTCACCACTAGATGTGGAATCTTCGCTAGAATCTGTTGAGGCGCTGGTGATCGAATCACGGTGACGCAGTGGTGGTGGCAAAGTTTCCTCTATGGTGGGATTGATCACTGAATGGGTATTACTGAAGGACACTCTTTTCACTGGTGCTTTATGCTGAGGTGACTCACCAGAAGGTGTTCCAGATCCTTTTCTTTGAGGAACAGGGGTAACATCTATACTAGTAATCTCTCTGGGATTATCAGATGAATTACGCACGAGTGATGCATTGACTACAGTAATTATCGAATGTCGCGAGCCAGGTTCTGGGATGGACATCTGACTATCTTGAAGATTTCCCACGTTTCTTAACAATGGCTGATCTATTTTTTCTTGCATTTGACTTGGCTGTTCCTCACGTTCGTCCCATGTAACAACATCCAATATCAATTTGTCAAAATTGTTCTGCAACTGTTTACCAAGCTGAAATAAACGACAAAGAAATGCAACTCTGACTGAAAATGTGTGAATCAAGTAAGTTTATATAAGATGTTTATGATGGTTGGAATACAGACAACCATTGTCACTATCACCGAGAACTACTAGAAGTTGGATTTCCTTTCGGAGAAATTTAGCTCTATCAGAAAAAAAAGATTCCATTGAGAAACAGAACAATTAAAAGACAACATACCTTAGCCATTCTAATACCAGTGATCCACCTATCTAAACTATATTCTGTCTCAGCACAGAAATAGCGGATATATTTGGATGTTTTCTTCTGTATCTGAGGATGCTGCAATGAAACATTGTGCATGAGTTACACAGTCATCTTCCCCTATATTAACAAGCCTTTTTCTTATTAAAATAATATTACTTTTAACCAATCAAAGTGTGATTGTAGAATTCTTTCTAAATAAAAAATATAGCAAAACCCAAAGAGGCTGATAAGTTGCTACTTTGGGTTTGACTATCCCACCAATCTTCCTTGTTATCAAGAAACTAGTCCTTAATGACATGATTTAATTAGTTGAAGTTACCATTATTAGAACTAAACTCTATTTTTATTATTAGTCGCATTTCTTTAGAGACATGTTGACCTACCTTTAAAGCAAAAGTAAAGTCTGTTGGTGAATGATATTTTTTCTTCCAATTCAAACCGTGGTATAACTCCACAAAATCAAACTGAACCAAACAAATCAAATCTTTAGATGCCTGGAAAATACAAATCACATCCAAATTTTATTGATTGCAAAATAATAATCATTTTGTAAAGATAGAATCCTTGACTTAAAGTATAGCGAAGAGCCTTCCAGCAAGGAAATACAAGTGAGATACAAAGAACTTTAACTTAGCACTGGTATAGCAATTCCACTTCAAACAGGCTAACTTGTCTAATTTTAAATCATAGCAAACAGCCTGTATGAAAATAGAAAATGCTTCCAGCTTGTTTTTTCAGTGATCTCATGCTGTCACTTTTAATTTCAGTGTAAAATTTGCATTATATTAGCCAAAAGAAATATAGAAGTTTGTTGCCCCTTTTAGTATGTATTGGGGCCATGTATTTGCATTATTCCAATTTTCTTAGAAACATTTAGTTGTGGTAGAATTGAAAGAACCACAGATGTCTGGCTTAAAATTGGAATAGTGCAAATTGATGTTATCAATATACACAAAAAGTTAAGAAAACCATGTTACAATCCTTTTTAGTTCATTACCTTGCTGATTTTTCCTTTAGGATTATAATAAAGGCCTGATGCTCGTAACACAAAGAAATATTTCTTCCACGATTTCTTCCCGTCTGCCTTTAGATACAACATACCCTCCACTTCTGGGGCATGGGCACCTCCTGCTGAATAAAATTCCTGAAAACACAGAATTAGTTGGTGAAATAGGCTATAATACATTCAAGGTGGCATCCCTGTAAATTTTTAGAGAACCCTCCCTTTCCCAAAAATTTGAAGTTGAATTGCTGCTTAAAATACGTCGAGGAAGAAAGTTCAGGTTCACTGAGGATTCTTTCTAACAGCTGTATCTTTGGCATCGAACTTTCCCGGATTATCTGTACTCATTTACAGCTGGGTTGAGCAGGAAAATGAGTGAAGATGACTTCTTCAAGAGCATAGAACTTTCAGATTAGAACCAATACTTGTTCAATGTAACCAAATGACATCATGTATAAAACGACTGGAACCTTTCATTTACAAGGTTAAACTAGGTTTAAAAATTAAAGTTATGATCTTGCCCTGTACCAAGATAGATTCTCTGACCTTAAAATGAACAAGTTAATCATTTCTTTAAATGATTCCTTAAACTTACATCCTACTTTTCTGTACTGAATTGGGATGAATGAAGAAGGGCAACAACATGCAGTGTATTAGGGAATTATCATGAGATTGAAGCCTGGATCTTTAGATAGGAGCACACATCCAACTCACTTACCTCCTAACCTGCTAGAAAAGTCAATAAAATGCAAACTCACCTGAAGAAGTCTATCTCTCTGTCCTCGAGGTAAACTGACATTTTTCTCAGTAGTGGAACCATGCAGTAAATATTTCTGTAAAATATCAAATAATGACTTTATCTTTGATTTGTCACAATGGTCTAATACAGGAAGCAAATATTTTGTTTAAAGAGGTAAAACCAGATAGATTTCATGTATAAAGTGGATTTTAAATTTCAAAATTTGTAAACATGAAATTGCTATGAGATGGAATTTCAAACCCTGCTTTTCTGCATCATTGCCAATACCATGCAATGAGAGAAATTTTGCTCCCATGACTCCCAGATAGTACCTTCAAGAAAAGGACACTCTATAGTTGATGTATTCAAATCTGGAATGTTTATGACATCAAGTACACAGAGCACAAAATAATAACACTAAACATTCGTCTTTTAACTGCTTTATGTCAAGTTTTGTCTTTATTGTGAGTGTTGTCACTTTAAATAAAATATAAACAAAGTCTATAAACAAAACTAGAAGTAGGTCTAAGTTTTACTCTAGGACTTCCTGATGTGTTATTAACTTTAATACTTAATACACCACAACACTCATTCTCAACACAGAAGCCTGCCAGTGTGTCAAGAATGGTTCTATGTATCTATGCCAATCCATTTTTTAACTTCAAAGATCAAGTGTGGACCACTGCCAAAAGTTTGAAGTCAAGAAAACAAACATCAATTAATAACCATTCTAAACTTTTCAATTTCAATTAAACTCCTATTTCGTAAAAGAAACCAAACCAAAACAAAAAGACACAGACAATTTCAGAATAACCTCACAATTTCCAAAAATTGCCAAAACAAAATACGGCATAAAACAAACTCAAAATTTAAATAATCAGGTTATAACATAAAAATGAGCACATGATTTACCAAAAAAAACATCACAATTCACAAAAGAATGAACAGTTTCCAAAAAAAATCCTCGTTTCAAAAAAAGTACACAATTTTCAAATCAAAATTCACAATATAAAAACCTTCACAACAAAATTCACAATATCAAAACCTTCACAACAAAATTCACAACATAAAAACCTTCACAACAAAATTCACAAATTTGAAAAAGACGTTGATTCAATTTGAAAGCGTAAGTGATTTAATATTGATAGGCTGAGAATATCATAGCTGGAAACAGAAAACTAACTTTCCATTACGAAAATACAACATTTAATTTAATATATTATCTTAAAATTTGACTTTATCTTGGAAAATATGTAGAATGACCTGCCAAGAGAGATATATTTTACTAATTTTATGATAATTAATGTTCTTAAGTTCATTCTGGTGTTACATGATCATAACTCTTACTAATATCTTAATGGAGGGGGGCTGTAGCTCTAACAACTAGTACTTAAAAACTTTACATTTTGACAGATGCATTTATGGTTCAGATTGCATAGAAACCAAAATTTGGTGAAAATTCTCATAAACTAGTAAATGTTTAACCTTACCTGTAACAATGTCACATCAATATAATAATACTATCACAGTCTATATCTTAAATAAGACATGACTAGAAAACAAGCATCAAAAAAGCTCACAAAGAACATAGTAAACCATAGTTTAAAACTATACTACCTATCTATCCATAGGAAAGACAAAATTTCAGTTCAACTTGAGAGCTGGTTAATATGACTAACACAGTATAGTAATAATTGTATACTCAATAATTTCCTTTCAAATTATATTAGTCAAATATTCAGGAAATATTTCTAAACAATATATACTAGTTTCTTTCTTATTCAATTAAGGTGGGTAGCAAAATACGACCTTGAGTTGGGGAGGAGTGATTTTGCTTTATAAAGGGTGACCAGTTTTTGAAGAGAATATTTAGCTTGTTGGGAACAAAGGTTGGGGATTCAGAAATCATATAGGAGAGAGATAAAAGATAATACAATAAAAATCTGATCAATATAAATTTTATAGAAGTCGACAAACACACAACTACCAACAAATTATTTAGCTTTGTAGACAAAATAAATGCAAAGTTTAAGAACACAATTTAAGAGTAATATAAGGTATTGCAGAGGGGCAAGCATACATTGCCCTACCCTCATAATAAATTTGTACAGCTAATATAAACCATATTCCAGGAACTTTTTTGTCATCGTCTTTATGACTGAAGCTAGGTATGTTAATGTCGATCAAGTTGTTTTACCGGTCATGTCTAACCAAATTTGAAAGAATTGCCATGAACAAGTCACTGTTGAGTTGAGTTTATAATTTTCGAAAAATGTCCCAAATGCATTTAGTCATATCTAACTACATTGGAGCACTAATCAAACATGACTGGCAAATACCACACCAACATCCCTGTGTATTATCGACTTTGTATCTCAAAACTCATTCAAAATGATTTATAGAGTATTTATGTGTCCCAAATTTATACTCAAGCGACCCATAATTGTACAAGTGCTCTTCATGCATAACCTAATTGCTTCTTATTTGGGTCAAAAGAAATATTTCCCAGACATAGTCAACAAGAGTTGAAACTACTTGAATTTTCAATCCACCTATTTTTTACTTTTCTGCACCTAATGGGCTAATGAAACTGAACAACACATGCAGGGTGCAATGAAGAAAATTTTGCCAGTAAAGCAACATTAGCCAACCCTTTTCTATTTTTTTTAAGGGATCTTTAACGTGGACAGCCTATTATTATATCCCATCTGAACAACAAGAAGCTTTTGCCATGTCAGCCCCTCTGATCTGCATCAATGACAAAGGGAAACCGGTATGACAAATTCTAAGGTGTTATCTTGACCCATGCCTGGATTAAAACTTGGACCTTCAGGTAACAGAAATTTTCCTGTTTTTTGAAATATGGTAGCTAGTTTTAATAGACAAAGCTATTTCTGCACATGAAAGTAAGATCTGTGTTGTGATCTATGCTATAGCTACATAAGATTTTAAAGTCAATATGAAATTTCACCATTTGACCAATCAAACTGTAGTTTCAGAAATGTGACTTTTTTTCAGCTAACTAATCAGTGATAGTGTTCACAGCTCACTGTCACATGTATGTATAGAATTATCCATGTTTGAAAGATAAAATGACCACTCATCTTTTCTTCAGACTTCCATAGAATAGACATATTGAAATAGAAAGTGAAATTTATAGTCTGAGGTATATTTGAAGATATTTACACATATTCAAGACCCAAATCAACCCATATATCAATCAAAATATGTTAATGTCTGCATTTGGAAAGTTAAATTGTCTGTCCTAAATATTCCCAGAAGAGTTTCTTCAAGTAGATTCCATTATCTTAAATTATCTTGAAATTTTAACAAACTAAAACTAATACCACTTAACTCTTAACTCTAAATGTCCATAAAAAGGTCTGGAAATAGTATTTAAGTTTTGTCCTAGACACATTTTTTAAAAAGTTTTTGAGATTTCATGAGATTTTAGTATTTTTGTCTTTGAGGTTACCATTTTTAATTTCACTAAAAGGTTTATTTTCAAAATTTTGTTTCACCATTTGCTTTAAATGTCTTAAAGGGACAGGTTCTTTGTTTGTTCGACCAATCGTATTTTAGTCTCAAAATTCTTTAGCTCACCGTTAAAATTTTAGCCTTCAAATCCATGTGTATCCAGATTTATATTATTTTTTTTTTCGGATTTACTTTTATTGAAGACCAAAATCAACCCTCAAAAATTGGGAACCTGTCCCTGTAATTCATTCTGATTTCCAATACTTCTAACACACAAACCATTAACACTTAAACACATCAACACATGTGCAATTGGGGATTGAGAAATTACTTCATCATGTTTAATGGTAACCAAACCTGCCAATCAACACATTTTATATTATCATTTTCATAATTAGCTTTGTAAATATGAACACAAATACAAAATCGTGTATCATACAAGTATGAACAACACATATCATATGAAAAAAGGTTGTGTTGGTTGGTTACAATTCACCACCTTATCAAAGCTAAAGGATAAAGTGAACAACAGTCCTGTCGATGTAAAGTTCAATGTTCAAACAACAATGTACATACACATTCTCAAAGATATAAATTCCTTACCTCTGGTTGGTTGAAAAGGTCATATTTCTGTGAACGTTCCTCAAATAATATTTTATTTTTAGAATCACGTGTCCACATGACCATATTTTCCACTAATGAATCATGGTCCTCTAATACTCGCTCTGAAAGCAGAAGATCAGAAAAATTATAACATAAATTAACAAGGATTACATATCCAAAACTATGTAAGATCTAATGTCCATCATAGACTGTATATTCTGCAATTGCAGGGAACAAATTTTAAGTATTTGATTATTTTTTGTGGAAAATTTTTGGACTTCGATCTTAGTATTTTGCTTAAGAATTTTAGAGAAAACAATTTTGTTTTCATAAGGAAACCATTCGTGATGAATCTATGGAGTAATTTTCAAACGTGTAATTAAGATTGTATCGTCCAGACCTCTATGTGATTAATTACACTGGATTGATCTGGACTAAACCCTACACACTATTACTAGTAAATAAACGTCTATATCTCAAAACCAATTCATCAACCGCCATTCCGCCATCTGGCACCAGCTAATTTCCAGACATTCCTAATTCTAATTTGGAAAATAATCCGAAGGGAATTTGACGCTAATCGAATGTAGCGATTGAATGAAATATTTTGGTTGGAGATTACTTCGGGATTGTCAGGAAATGAAGAACTATTTACGATTTCCTTTTCAAATTTCTTCCAATTTACCATTTTCTAGGTTTTAGTACTGTCAAGATTATTATATATTCTAAATTGAACACAATTTTACACATAATACTTCTACATGATTTGGATGATGGCGCTCTAGCTAGCAGCCTCTCTAGCTAGCAGCCTCCCACTGAAAGTTAGCTAGTCAAAATTCAAGGTTTACCTCGATTTAACTTCATTTTTAGTTTCTACTTTTTGTTTCATCCTTGGGACTTGTGATGTGCCTGCAGTGTTGCCTAACTGTATCTGCGATATTCAGTGTTATTTTGTCATCTGAAGTGTTGAAAGTTGGTCAAGTCATGATTATTAAATATGGCCGTCTTGAACATCTCAACTGGCATGATTTTCTCAACCAGCGTAACCGGCTTGATGTGACAAAATGGATAACTTCTCTCAGATTGGACTATTCCACGGTTTGTGGTCATAAGAGAAGAAGATTGAATAGACCTAAGGGTAAGCGAGGAGGTTTTTCAAAATTTCAACGCCATATTGCCGCGGTTTGCGACATGTTCACTCATCAACCACCGAAGCCCCAGCGGCATCCTACGCGCACTAAAGTTCCCCTTCTTTCATCTTACAATCTTCAATGCCTATGGAACGCCCGTTAAATGGAAGGTAAAATATTAAACCAGCACTTTAAATATGATAGGCAACAACAAAAATAGGACATTTCTCTATGTCCTCTAATGTCCTCTATGGAATACACGATTGAGATTAATGTTAAAGGTCATCTCATTATGATTAAAGCTGGTCAAGGACCATGATGTTTATCTAAAACATGTCCTGTCTAATTAATCAATCTTTTCCAAATATGGACACATAATTCCCTTCAAATTGGCATGGTAGTGCCAGTGGCATTCAATGAATCATAGAGCCAAATAGTTAGCAAACCCAAAAGTACCCCTAATTCATTTCCGAGAAATTTCAAAATGAGATTTGTATATGATTTGTGTCAGTACACCAAATCAATTATATTTTCTGGTTGAGACCTTACTAGACTTGATATCTCAACCCCTATCTCAGCTCTAACAGTTGTCCTCCCATTGAGTCAGTATGCCCACTATTTGTGGCTAGCACCACCACTGAAGACCATATTTTTTTCTATCTCTTTCTTAAAATGAATACCTCATTTATGTACAAGACAGTAAGAAAATCTTAAAATATATTTTTATCAGTACGACAAGCCATACTGGAATCATTCCAAGAAAACATCATGATTCCAAATGTAAACTGTCAGAACTTTTTATTTTGAAAGATTAATGAAAAACATATGCTAATAATTACCTTATTCCCTGCAGAAACCAAAAAAACAATTTTTTATTTTACATGCTCAATTTACTTTCTACAATATTTTTGTACAAACAAATTTTCTTCTGTCTCAATTTCCTGGTTAAGATTATTAATTTCTATGCCAAGGAGGGATGTTGAATTTTTTTGCATTTGCCAGTCACTTCTGAGAACATTTCCTTACGTTGGTAATCATGGCCTATTTGTGGAAAGTACAAAGAGTTTAACATGACTGGTAAATACATCCAAATCACCAATTTAGAGCCCTTTTGTAAATACAATCATATAATCAGGCTAGAGCTTTAGACATAATCAATCAAATTTAGCAGGATTATCACTTCAACAAAACCAAATTTCAATCATCTTTGTATGAAAAATCAACATCACTAGCTGATAGCAATCAATCATCTGTCTGTAATACTTATGAATGAAAACAGAAATGCAGTTTGCCTACAAGCAAATATTACTGATATTTATCATCATTGTCATTAACTGAACAAGAAGATATCAAAATAAATAGCAAATATCCCTTTAATTCAATTGTAACATCATTGAAATTTGGTGAAAGCAAAACAATGTTTTGTCAACATAATTCTATTAAATTACAATGACATTATAAAAACTCAGATTTCCAGATGGGTAAAAACTATTTGCCAACACCATAAAAAATGTTGTGAAAATGAGTAAATTGGAGGGAAAGTCATTAAAGTTCTGTTAAGTATAATGATCAAATTATCTAGAGTAATCTCCTCCCTAACAACCCCATTATTTATCCATAGTTACTGCTAAATATAGATCAACCTACTGTTAAGAAAGAAACAACTATATTTTACAACAACATCAACTTTGGTTCACTTAAGATCCTTTCTACCTTGACCAAACCTCATTGATCTTTTCAATGCAGGAGAGTATATATGTTAAAAATAAAACTCATCTTGTTGAGCCAATGGGTCATCAGACTTCACATGCTGAACTCATGACCGCCATTTGTTCTGCATAGTCAAGCAAATGACATCATGCCCACTTTGCACTTAGTGAAACTTTCATACTTCATCTTTTTCATTTACATACCCAGTTTTAAAACTTGCTTCAAAACAAAGCATTCAGTTTTGTAGGTCTCTAATTTTCTTTGCTCAAATTTATGAAAACTATAAACCAAAATCCCTTAACATATCTGAAACTTTTAACTTAAAAAATCCAGCTGTTTATTTTTAACCCAAAACTATTTAAAAAGATTTATGAAAAAACTACTGTACAGATTTAAGTACAAAAACTAGATCAAACTGCTCAATTAACAATAAGTACTCTCAGTTTTTAATTAACACTTTGAAAACAAATTCGATACATAGATATAAATAGCATACTTTTGAAATATTTTCAGGTATAATTTACCATGTTTTTAATACTGTAAATTTTGCAAATTGCCCCTTTTAATGTTAATCTTAATTAATCAGGTCCCTCTACCTTTCAGTAGATTTCTTGTTCCTGTTTCGTTTCTTTCAGAATGCCTTTGCGTCACAATTTGCATCTTGCAACAAATTTAGGTCAAGGATGAAAAAAATAATGACATGAAGCAGATGACGTCAGCAAGGTATTTTGACACAACCAGGGCGATATTTGACATTAACATAAATCCATGGCATTATTTATGACAATAAAATTCAATAGAAATTGTCTGCAACTATTCCAAAATTTATCCTTTAAGAAATATAAAGATTTATAGTCTGGTAAAGGGTATTGATTTGATCCCAGGTTCAGTTCTGGTCTGTCATTACTGGCGTCGTCTGATACCATTGAGATGAGTTGCCAGAATTTTAATGACACTGTTGCAAGTATTTCAATAAGCTGAAATAAACTCAATATAATTTCTGTCTACAATTTAAGTTTATAATGACACGAGCTTTAAATTCTTTGAATCCGCCATCAGTTTAGTCAGTCACAGAAATGTGAATTTTTTTATTTTTAAGCTAATCAGAGATGGTGTTCAAAGCTCACCATTGAAATTTGAGCCTATAAATTCATGTGTATCCAGAATTGTCCGCTTTTGAAAGTAAAAAGACAACTCAGGAGTCTTATTAAGAATCTAATGCATCAAACTGCATAAAAAAATAACAGTTCCACTTTGTGAAGGAATACAGAATAAAGAGAGTAAGTAATAAATATCAGTACACAATCCCCTTGACTCTAGTTAAATCAGGTTCTTCATGTATAGATGTATATGAAATTTCAACAAGTTTCTCAAGAACAGAATCTAAATTCTTGAAATTCTGAAAAAAATCATCCTTCAAATCCTGAATAATGAAAAACGATCGTTCTTAATTCTGTCAACATGCTTCGATTGAAAATCCATTAAGTTATCCCCCTTGACAGATAAATGAGATCTGATATGTCAAATGACGACAAAGTCATGTCAGGCTTTTTTAATTCAATTTTCACTGTAGTATTGATAAGTCAAGTGTTAATAGAATTCTCTGTCAATCTTTAAAATGCCTTCAGAGCAGACATGATATTGAAGACTTCAAGTTGCACACCCACACAAAAATCTGTCTTTACAGATTGGGCACAGCTCCTTCTCTGCCACTCTTCAAGATGCTTTCAGAAAAAACTTGATATTCAAGTGTACTTGAAGGAGCACAACCACATTTATATTGTCCATTCATGGAGTGTATCTGCATAAATTTATGTTATAACATCTACAACACTTTAATTTCAGTGTTAAAATAAAATGGTTTTTTGTGTGCAGCTCAACACTTGTTGTTTTTAAAATGTTCATGCTTGCTATTTACTTGAAAGTATATTAGACTTCAGGTATTGAATTAGTAGTGAAAAATCCTTTAAATTTGAAAAACAGTTGGTGCTATAACATTAATCATTAGTTTCATATTTACATGTTGTTTTTAAAATGTTCATTTTTCTATTTGAAATCACATTGAATGCTTTCAACATTTAATTGGCTGATGAAAATCCTATAAATTTGAAAAACAGTTGATACTATTAAAATAATGATGTTATTTAGTAAGAATATAATTATTTGTTGGCAATGTTTAAGACCAGATCTGCACCTCGCTGCATAAATCTTATTATATATATTAAGATAACAAACTACATGTTGGGTGGGAACAGTTGGACTCCTGCCAGCAATGATTCAAGTGAATTTAGAGTTTATTAACTAACACAATTACTTTGAGACAAATGAAATGGAGTTTTACATCCTACTGTATTGACATAGTTTAGCTAAAATTGGTGAAAATTTGTTAAAAAAAAAAAGATAGCTTGCCAGGCAAGGTAACATACGCCCACTGGCAGCTGTCAGAAATGATTAAACAGTCTTTAGTGACTACAGGGTTGCACAATATAGCTAATAGAGTGAAACGTCAAGTCAGACACGATATTTCGGTGAAAAATTATCCGATCATCACGAAAATCAATAGGGATCATCTTCATAATGACATTGACATACAAAATAAAAATCAAAAGAATCCATAAAGAACTGTAGCCTGTAGAGTGAGCACGAGCCAAATGTGAACGGACGGACGGACGGACCGACGGGGTGATTACAATATACGCCCATCTTACGTGTGGGCATATAAAAAGGCAAGAGGTCAAATGAAATCAGATGAATGGAATTTTCCTAATCTTCAGAACCTAATTGGACTAATGAAAACAGGCAACACAATGCAGTTTGTAAAATAAGGGTAATTTTGCCAGGACAGCAGTTTACTCTTTTTAATTTCCAACTGTTGAGGTACCTTAACATGCACAACCTGTAGTATGCAGAGTGTCTCACATATGAATGGCTAGATGCTTTTTCCATTTCAGTCCCTCTAACCAGCATCACTGACCCAATAGAAAAATCTAAAGGTATAATCTTGATTTATGCTGGGATTGAAACCCTAGACCTTCAGCTTAGCAGAAAAGCATCTTGCTAGCCATGGAAACTCCTGTCATATATGGAAATAAACAATTGGATAATTTCTTCTTACCCATAAATAAATCGGGCATGTGTTCAATGACTGCTAGGTTGGTGTTGAGTGGTATGTGGTTTTTATCAGCCAGGAGTCCAGTTACTTGACCAACAGTCATCTTTTCATCCACTAGTATACTCTTACTGCTCCCATCAGTAGCAAATACTCGCACAAATAACTGAAACATATAGAATGAAAGAATGAATGAATTGATATGGTTACAACACTGGTAAATACTCATTGAGTACTCACTGTAGTGAGTTAACCATCCAGCCAGCAGCTGCTAGTTGGCAAATCAGCGAGTTAGCCATCCAGTCAGCTTTCAGTTCTCAGAGTTACCATCTAGCAATCCAGCCAGCTGCTAGTTGGCATATCAGTGAACGAGTCACTCAACATGCATCCCACGAGTGAACTAGCCACCCAGACAGCAGGCCAATGAGTTAGTCACCCAGACAGCAGACCCATGAGTTAGCCACCCAGGCAGCAGGCCAATGAGTTAGCCACCCAGACAGCAGGCCAATGAGTTAGCCACCCAGACAGCAGGCCAATGAGTTAGCCATCCAGACAGCAGGCTAATGAGCCACACAGACAGCAAGCAACAAGCCAGTGAGTTAGCCACAAAGAAAGCTGGCAGTAAGCAAGTGAGTTAAGTGAGTAAAATGAATGAATGAATGAATAAATGAGTGAATAAATGAATGAAATTTAATTAATTCAAAGCATGAAGTCCTACTTGTGGATTATCTGTGTTAAAATTGAGCATTACAGGCTGTCCACAAAACTCTTCCATTTTTCACCTGACAATATTTCCTACATTTTTAATCCCAAGCTACAAGTTCCAAGTCCCTAATTTCAATCACCTACTTTGAATTGATCAAATTTATTGAACATTTTTCCCACAGTCAATGAAGAAAAAATTCCTTGAAATGACAACTTGATATTTCAAACCCAAAATTGATATGATATGACCTGATTTTCATCATGGAAAAAAGTCTTAGTAAACAAAAACTATCACTTATACTTATAGAACATACTGAAATGTCTTGATGGATTCATTATTGATTCAGATTGTATTTGATACCAAAAATTTGGCAAATTTGGCTTTTGTCACAGTAGAAATCCAAAAATATATTGGACCAACTTTCATAAAATGGGTATTTTTAAGTCTGACCCTAACCATGACAAAATCAAAATCTTAAATCACGTCCAAGGAACTGGTAGGGTCAGATTTGTCAGGTTATTGGTCAAATTAAAGATCAAATTTCAAGCCACTTTCAAAATAGTTCTTGAAATAAAAAAAACAAAACAAAAACCAAGCTTCACCCAATCATGTTAAACTAGGTCCAAGTTGAATTAAAAATATGACATATCCCACCATCACAGAGTCATAGGGTCAATAGCTCCATTTTTCAATATACAATTCTTTGAGATCCAAAGTTGAACCAGTGTAATAAAGCTAATAACGATCACAAGACTTTGTAGTTTTCTTAGAAAGTCAAAGTGAAACAGATGTGACCATGTTTTATTTAGATAGCCCACAAAATGTCACAGAACCCATTTAGTCTTCTGTTAACATATTGTAAATCATTAACAATTTTGTACTTTACAAATAATCTTTGCCCAAATTTTGTTCGCTGGTCATTTTAGTCCATAGTACTTGACCAATTTTTGTCTTATGTACCAATTACTAAAATAAATATCCCAAATGAACAATAACAGTGTTAACTCTCAAAAAGACAGACAAAGTTAAGGAAGGAACATCATATGTTTTGAATGATTGTTTTCTCTTACTGATGCATTTAGTTGGATAAAAATTATCACAATGTATTGAGACGATAATTACTAGCTCTCTTAACTTGAGAAAAAGATTGCAGGGAAAACTTAAGAGAAAATCAGTAATTAGTAGGATATAAAAGGGGACAGATGGTAATGCAATTAATCAAGGAAAGGGGCAATAGAGGATTGTTTTAAAATCAAAAAAAAATTTGAGACTTGGTTTGTAAGGATGAAGAAGCAGAGTCACCAACTCAATAGCTATGTGGACTCTCCAAAAGGGATGACAGGTCAAAACACCTCAAAATCAAGAAAATGTTTGCCTATAGTGTCAAGTTAAAATAATTACCTTTCGTATTTTAGCCTCTTTAATTTTTTCCAGAGCTATGCGGATCTTCTCAGCTTTCAGACGAGCCTTCTGTTCCTCCTAAAATGATATAACAGTTTGATCAGTTATTGATATATTGGATAGCTTGAAAATGAAAAATAATAGGGGGCACACTGACATAATGGGAGACAACTGTCAGGATTGAAATTCAAAATGATAACACATTTTGTGGCAGTTTCACCTAAATGCTTCACAAATAACACCTCTGTAAGGAATATTCATGTCAAATACCAATAAACCAGATACGAAGAACTTAACGACAGAATCTATAAAAACTTCACCTAAATGCTTCACAAATAATACATAATCATAATTATTAAATACCAATGAACTCAAACCAATAACTTTCTTAATGAACCTAAATATAAATAGAAAGTGTACTGAATAATTCTAGGTCAACAAGTTTGAAGCTATTTTTGTCCAGATTAGAAGTCTGTTTCCACTTGACGATATTTTATTTTCAACTGAAGTGTAATATTTCTGACTAAAATCAACTTATCATTTTAATGAGGGTAATATATATATTGTATTGTTATACTGTATCCGATTTTAGAATTCCATTTCCAGAATTAAGACACTGAATAAGTTAATAAACAACTTAGAACAATATTTCTAGATTCAAAACACTTTAAATCATATGTTTTATCATCTAATTGGATTGTTAAAGACAGGCAGCACTGTGGAGTGTACAATGAGGAAAGATTTGCAAGTTTCAACTCCATCTGTTAATAAACCTTTCATAAGGACAGTCCACTACACATTCTGTTAATTTATCTATGTAACTGCACTACTAGATTCATATGAATTGAAAAACACAATAAATCTGACCTTTTATGGTAGCAAACCCTAAGGCCAACCATGAATGAAATGAATGAAATGAATGAAATGAATGAAATGAATGAAATGAAATGAATGAAATGAAATGAATGAAATGAATGAAATGAAATGAAATGAAATGAAATGAAATGAAATGAAATGAAATGAAATGAAATGAATGATATAAATGAATGACTATCACAAAAACCAGTTCCTTAGTTTTTTATTATTCCCAAAGAAAACATTTCAAAAACAAAAGGAATGTGATCAAAGTCACAATCATGCACAAAAATTGAAAAGCAACAGGTAGCCATTTAGTAACTATCATGGAGACTGATAGCTAATTAGCTAACTACAAAGAAATTCGTGCAGAAGATAATGTTTTGAAAATAAACTTCTTGCAAGTCAAATTTCTGCCAGCCTTATCAAACTAATTATCTGAAAAATTTTGTCTTATTAAATATGATGATGCCAGTCATATCTGGTTTGTGGCCACAAATTTTCACCTAAAATGTGTTTAGTTTTAAAGGACAAAAGTCTGGCTGGTTAAAACACTATCTATCAGTTCTTTAATTTATTTGCCAGTCATGTCTCGCGTTCAAAACTGAACAAATTTTCAAGACAGCATTTGCTTGCTTACATTTTCAAAAAAAACTTTTTACTGAAAATGAAACGAAATATTTCAAATGTAAAAGACATGGTACAGTACTTGAATTCTATTTTGATAAAATTGTGCTTTCAGACAAAAATTGTCACTTTCTAAAAGTTTCAAATTTTTACCACAACAAAAATATTTGTTATTACAAAGCGTGTAATCAAAACTCAACGTGATTGATAACTCGGTATTTAACTCTCATTACTAACGTTTCAAATATCCATACTACTTACTAGTATCAGGATATTTCATTTCCTCAGTGATATTTTCATTGGAAATGGCAGTTGTATTGTTGAGTTGACTGTCCTTTCTGACTGGAGCTTAAGTTTGGCTGCATTTGACAGTCATGTTCATTAGACCAGATTTGTCAGGTCGGTCTGGCTGAAGCTACTAACTGTCAAAGATAGGTATGTTTGTGTGTTTTTCTTCCTAATTGAAACCTAAAAAAACTTTTAAGAAGTGATTCCAACCCTTTATACATCTCTAATCAAACATGACTGGCAAATAAAACCAAATCAACAATTTAGAGCTGTAGCCAGTTATAATTACAACAAATTCAACAATTACAGCTGTAGCCAGTTATAATGACAACAAATTCAACAATTACAGCTGTAGCCAGTTATAATGACAACAAATTCAACAATTACAGCTGTAGCCAGTTATAATTACAACAAATTCAACAATTACAGCTCTAGCCAGTTATAATTACAACAAATTCAACAATTACAGCTGTAGCCAGTTATAATGACAACAAATTCAACAATTACAGCTGTAGCCAGTTATAATGACAACAAATTCAACAATTAGAGCTCTAGCCAGTTATATTTACAACAAATTCAACAATTAGAGCTCTAGCCAGTTATAATGACAACAAATTCAACAATTAGAGCTCTAGCCAGTTATAATTACAACAAATTCAACAATTAGAGCTCTAGCCAGTTATAATTACAACAAATTCAACAATTACAGCTCTAGCCAGTTATAATTACAACAAATTCAACAATTACAGCTGTAGCCAGTTATAATTACAACAAATTCAACAATTACAGCTGTAGCCAGTTATAATTACAACAAATTCAACAATTAGAGCTCTAGCCAGTTATAATTACAACAAATTCAACAATTACAGCTGTAGCCAGTTATAATTACAACAAATTCAACAATTTGAGCTCTAGCCAGTTATAATTACAAAAAATTCAACAATTAGAGCTCTAGCCAGTTATAATTACAACAAATTCAACAATTACAGCTCTAGCCAGTTATAATTACAACAAATTCAACAATTAGAGCTAAAGCCAGTTATAATTACAACAAATTCAACAATTACAGCTGTAGCCAGTTATAATGACAACAAATTCAACAATTAGAGCTAAAGCCAGTTATAATTACAACAAATTCAACAATTACAGCTGTAGCCAGTTATAATTACAACAAATTCAACAATTACAGCTGTAGCCAGTTATAATTACAACAAATTCAACAATTACAGCTGTAGCCAGTTATAATGACAACAAATTCAACAATTAGAGCTAAAGCCAGTTATAATTACAACAAATTCAACAATTACAGCTGTAGCCAGTTATAATTACAACAAATTCAACAATTAGAGCTCTAGCCAGTTATAATTACAACAAATTCAACAATTACAGCTGTAGCCAGTTATAATGACAACAAATTCAACAATTAGAGCTAAAGCCAGTTATAATTACAACAAATTCTACAATTAAGAGCTCTGGTCAGTCATTACTGTTTAGGGCTCAGTCTAGGGCTCTATTAGATATAAATGACAATTACAACCAAATCAACAATCCAGAGATCTAGTCAGACATGACTAACAAATGCAACCAAATCAACATGACTGACAAATACAACCAACCAAACAACTGTAGTTCTAACAATACTCTGTGAACCTGCTAACCAAATGAATTAAAGATGCTACAGGCTACAATTAGATGAACCAACAAACAGATTAACTTCCGGCAGTTTCCACTAATAACATTATCTCCCTCCCATTCAGTTTGAACCTTAGGTCAAAGTGAAATAAATAAAACCTCCACTATCTTATCGATGTGAAAATCATGGTACCTGTTGCTAAAGGAACACCAAAGAAAATGATGTCATGTAGAAAACATACTGTGTATTATAGAACCTCACAAAAATATGTTTATTTAAGCCACCCAAACAACCCATATTCCTATATATCATTATATAAAAATATTCAAAACTGGATCTCCTGATGAGGATGGTGTTACCAGCATGAGGTTATTTCTTTTCACTTAGATTGTGTTTATTGTGATAGATGGTATTTTCCAGCCATTGGGAATATTGTACAAGATAATTAGTCTATATTCCTACTCTCTTTTCATTCATTAGTGACCTATTGCCAAGGGTTTATTTTTCTTAGGAGGTTTATTTTTTATGGTGTCCTGTTTCTTTTTTTTTTCATGGAGTAAGTAAGTTATCAAAGAAATAAACTATAAGTATGTGTATCAAATTAATTGGACTCTAGAATTTGTGGAAAAAAAATTAATACCCATTTTTACCCAGAAATCATCACATACTACTGACATTTGCTTCATAAACACCATCCTCATCTACACAAGCTTTGGATATGATATGGTTTGTTAGCAATTTAAATGATCAGGCAAAATATACAAACTCACTGAACAGGAATGAGAAGTTAATAACAAGTACATTCTATAGTATAAAAACTCATAACTAAGTCCTAAAATTCTGTCAACTTTGCCAAAAATCATTTATCTGTCCAATCAACCCTTCCTAAACACTTAAATGTCATTGATTTAATATGGGATGTTTATATTTACACTAAAGGCCAACATATAGTTGAAAATTTTAATATGACTAAAGAAATAAAACATTTGAAAACAACTTATTTCTTTAGGAGTGTCCACAAAGTTAATAATGTTTATGGATAACAACACACACATCTACAAGTCTCTGTTAATGCCTTTAGAATGGTATCTAAATACTACCAAAGACAAATTACAGCTCTCAAGTAAAATAACAACTTATTTCTTAGAGAGTCCACAAAGCTGATTTATGTATTTGGATAACAACAAACATAAAATCCATCAGTTTATGTTTATAATATTCCAATTCGACAGACAAAAAACCTGCTGAAAACACAGATCATGTGTAAAATAAGAAGCAATTAAGGAAATTGAAGAAAAACAGAAATTAATTACTTACAACCACTCTCGTTAAAAAATCCCATAAGCCCATTCTGATGCTAATAATAGTAACACTCTTCACGATGTTCACATAAAAAACACAATTGTGAGCCTTTTAGTCAAATTAATCCATAAAATACAGTACACCACAGGAAAATCAAAGATGTCTGCCTTGTTTACATACAGAGTTGTATTTTTTCAAAGATTATAGGAATCAAATCCAGTTGGTATTGTCAAGAACGAATCACAATGTTCACTATTGCAAATCCTTACAAATTTTTTTGTAAAAAATATCCAGTTACATAGGTTACATTTAAATCCACAACAAGTGTAAAACACAATTGCAAAGCAACATATCACATAATATGTAAAGCTAA